AGCACCATTTTTAAACACACACGTGCATGCGATATTTTCCGCCGACGTTCATAAAAAAGTTGCGGCCATAAATTGATGGGGCGCGCGCACCGATGATGTCGATGGCGCGACACTTGGCAAGACCGTATCTCCTACACGCGCGCGTATAATAAAATGATGTGTCGCTATGCTGATCGCCGCGGATTACAGGGACGCGATGAAACGGCTTATTCAACCGGCAGTTCCATCTGCTGATTCATCACCAGTTTCAGTTCAAACGGAAAAAATATTTTTTATTATTGCCGGCCACTTTTCAGGCACATTTTCCGTTTGGTCATCAATTACAAGTACATCATAGTGGTGAAAATTTGTTCTTTTGCTGATCAAACTCTTTTCAACACAAGTTTGAATGATGGATGAAATGTAAATTTCCAATGAAAACTATGTTTATAAATGGATAATGTGACGCAAAAACCACACAAAAAATTTCATTATCAATTTATTTTTATCAAGAATTATTTACCTCTTACGAGTGAAAGTTTAAAATAAAAAGTCTCAAGTTTTAAAAGAGTTTCAAGTGCGCAACTTCGCAAAAGGCAATTAATTTAAAAAAATTTTAATTTGCATATATTATATTTTAAATCTTTAAAAAAAATCTAGCAATATTAGTCTTATTGTTAATCTAAAGCCTACTTTTAATTAACTTAAATAAGAACCAGTTTTAGAAAGCAAACTAACTTTTTTTTAAATTCGAGCAAGATTTTCAAAGATCTGGAAGTGAAGATTCAAAATTATAGAGGAGGGGGATTATTATGTGTTATTTTGAGTTGATTTGCAAACTATAGAAGCGGAAAGATAGTCATTTAATTTTGAAAGTCTTTTTTAGTGCCTACTCCTTTTTTCCAATTAAAATATTCCTTTCATACTGCACAGAATAATTAAAAGTATTCTCCATTAGCCACCATAATATTTTAAGCAAAACTGGCACATAAAATATGACTTATATTTTACTCTATGATATTTAAAGAAGCTGAATGGTTGCTTCATTTACTCTTTGAAAATTTTTTGCTTTTTGTAGTTTCCGCAGTCTGAAACGCCAAAATTTAGAGCGAAAAAACTCTATAATGTAAAATTGAATAATAATAAATTTCAGATTATTTCACTTGTTTGTTTGATTTTTCTTCCATTTTTCTTCTTATTGTTAATTTGGCAGATCATCTCTTCTGAAATAAAGAATCTAACGAGCAAATAAACGAGCTTTTTTGAGTCCAAGAAGAGAGCAAAACTTAAGTGCTGGAAGCAGGGCAAAGGAGAAGCCGACCGAGATTGTGTGCTGCTCCTGGCCGGCGCTGCGGCGATGATTGATTAAGGCGGCCAAGTGCAAAGCAAGAAACCGATTCCAGACACACACCGCAGTGAGAGAGAGCAACGGGCCAGAGAGCAGAATTGCTGGCGCTAATGGATCTCTCTAGTCCTAGCCGTGCAGTTCCATTTCCTTGCGAATGTAAACACTCGCCTAATGGCATCCCATATTGTTTACTGACACCTCTGAGCCCACAGTCACTTGTCATCCGCGAGCACACAATGACAAAACTGCTCGCAGACTCCGTCTATCTTTGCAGGTGCCCTTCTGCACAAAAAGTACCAGTGTTCCAAGGTCACACGGTCGAAACGGTACAAAGCGAAATGGAGCGTGAATTGTGACGGTCTGTCTGCCTGCCCTCCCAACCACCCTCTCCATAAATTGTCCTCCGTTTAATGCGATTTGCTCTGCCGGTCCGTCGGTCAGCGGGATGGCAGGCTGATTGTTTATTTGCTCACTGATTTCCATCAACATCGTTTGTGTATGTTGTTGTCCCGATTTTTTTCATCGCGCTGTTTGCTGTGTTTTATATTATTAAAAATTTCTGCTGAATTCAGAGATTCATGATCAATTGATAAATTGCTCTATTATTATTGGCTTTTCGCATTTATTTCAGATAAAAGACAAAATTTCCTAAGCTTATAATTTATTTCTGCAAGTAATAAAAAAAGATTATATTTTAGAACTTTTTTTAAACCTACATTTAATTTTGTATTGAATTATATTGAATTATATAAATTTTTTTAAACAATAAGGGCAATCCGAAAGCCTGATAACCTGCATGACCCAGGCTAATTTAGCCCATCATTCAAATTGAATGGTGAATTTAAGCTAACCTAATCACACACAAAAAACTGATAATATATTGCAAAATTGAAAGTGAATTCATAACTGTTTACTGCACCTGGCTGTTGCACATGACACCGCATAGTAAATATGTCAAGGGCATGCAATTCGCTTGCATCATAGTGTGTGCTTCGACGCACTTTGAAGCTTTTGTCCTTCACATATTGCAAGGTACAGGAATTTGCAATAATAGTCAATGAATGCAAAGGTTATTCAATTATCGAAGGATCAATGGTCGTGTACTGGGAATTCAGTAGTTTTGTAATTGTGTGCTATAATATAATCTACAATCAAAGCTACTTTGTTCTGCAAGAGTGCAATTCAGTGATTAATAAACAAGTTAATAACCCTTCCTGATTAAAAAAATCATAACCCTGTATGCTGACAATGAGTAGAGGTGAGAGGGGGAATTATAGTTCCATTTGAATTTCAATTTAATTTAATTTTAATATGTTGATGTTTCATTGTCAGAGAGTTCAAATTGTTTTTCAGAACTAATTGTGAGGAAAATTGAATTACAAAGCCACCAAAAGATTCTAATTGGTTGCAGAAATGTTTAGTTGTGCAAAAGTTGGCTCATTTTTTTTTAATAACATTAAAAATTTAGACCCTCTTTGTCAGAAATAACCATTAATCCATAAATCAAATTGCGAGAGAGAGAAAAAAATGATCTTTTTAAATACAAAGTTGACTCGCATAAATTAGCCTCACAAATATGCAAACAATCAATTTGAGCGGCCGTAAATCAAAACATGTGCGCATCCCAGCGACTTTTTGTTATTATTTATTATCTGGCACGCAACCTCCGCGTTATGGGGGTAGTATATAGGTGTACATTTACACGATGTTACTGCACACGAGCCACTGTCGCGAGGGAGCTGATAACAAAGTGGATTTACAACTTCCTGCGACTCAGCTCCGGTGGAGGTTTTTTCCACCCTTGTGCGCTAATTAATTGCCGCATTACCTTAATGACGTGGATTTTTTTAAGTTGTACGAGGGAGAGCATGCCAGGCGATGAGGTTTTTTTACATTTTTATTTTATTACAGATGTACACCATATAACTGCACGCATTCATAAATTGCACTTTTCCACGCCACGCGACGACGCCCACCCACCGTATGTCGGTAAAATTAATGAAAGTCACGAATGGCACTCATCGTACATGTAAATTTTGTTTTACAAAACCAGAAAACGCACTTCCAATTTATTCATCCGTGTTTTCACCCTCACAATATAAATTTTTTTTGTCAAGTGCTGCTTTATAAAGGATAAGAGCTTTTTAATTTGACATCTCCCATGCTAATTTTTTTTATTCAATATCAAATTTTTTCTAGCACTAATCAGGTTATGTCATGTTGATTTAAAATAGCACTTTAAATTGAAAATAAAATGTTTTTCTTTTCTAAAAAATGCCAGATTTAATTAAAAAGTGTGTCAAATTAATTAAATAAGATTAAACGCCATCATTATTATTTAATAATAAAAAATTTAAATATTATTAAAATTTATAAATATTTGTCAATTCTTACTGTTTAAATACACGCAATAGAAGTTAAATCATTTAAAAATTTATAAAGAATTTAAATAATTAATCATTTTATATAAAACAACAGAGTAAATTTGTTTTCTTCTAGAATTTTACATTTTACAATGTTTTAGATTTTAATTATTTGGTTAATACATTGTTTTATAAGCTCTTTACAAATTATTTCTTGGACTAGGGCACCTCCACACAATTTCATTTATAATATAAATTGCACTCTTGGGCTACCTGCAGTGAGATAACGCTATCCTTTGTGCAAGATCCTGTGTGTGCGAAGCTGGGCGCGTGCATTGCGATTGATCAATAATTCAAACAGAGAGATAATTTCGCATCCATTCAATGGGACAAAGCGTAGCTCCCGCTGCTCATTGTCAATGGCGCGCCGAGATTATTATTTGCTGCGCTAGCTGTCGTAAGATAATAATACCACCTGAATAGAAGCACCCTGGATGCCTATGCAACCCGACCGTCGCAGAGGTGTTGTGCGAATTGTCTCGCTACAACATGTGAATGTGTAACACAGACGCCTCTCAATGTTCTCGCATCGACGCCTTGCATGCTGAATGCATTCAAACATAGCAAATCCACTGTGGTTTCACATGATTTGTTGTTTGAATGCAACAAATAAATTCGAAATATAAATGAGAATCCAGCGTTATTAATTGTTTAATTTTTTTTTTTTAATTGAAGTCAATAAAAATTGTATTTATTATTACATACTTTCAAATTAAATAAGAATTAACCATTTTACATTTAATGATGATGAAAAAAAAATGCAATTAATTCTTCCAGGTAAAAAAAAAATGGATTAAATATTTCCGCTACACCATTTGAATAAATTTCTCTTAAGCTGATTGTTATAATTAAAAACTGCTTATTCTCCTAAAATTATTATAAGCAAAGAAAACCTTGCTTTTTCTGGCGAGAAATGCTATTTTGGTTTCGACCAAATGAAATAAATTTTTCTTCTCGGCCTTGGGAGGTAGAAAGAGATAAAACCATTATTTTACTTGCTGATGCAATATACAGTCAGAAAAAGGCAATGCGTATATGTAAGATATTTTACTGTCTCTCCGAAAAGAGCAATAACACCTTCCTAAATCAAAAAAGGTTCACGCAGGATGATACTTTCATTTCTCCAGCATGAAAAACTGTTCACATTTTCCCACTTCACCCGCTTCTGCAGTTAAAACCACTACATTATATTGAATATTTGAATTATACAGTATTATTTTTTTTATACAATATAGCAGTAAACTTTGCATCTCCCTTGACCGTGTCCGTACCCAACATTGCTGCAAAGCAATAAAAATATATACTATAAGAACAAAGTAAATTATTTTATATTATAATATTTTTTGTTATAATTAAAACGTAATACTGCTAATTAAAACAATATATTAATCAAAAAAGAGAAAAAGACACTTTGAGTAGAATAACAACGCCGGAAATTAGCTATATACATGTACTAATGGCATGGCGATGGCATGGCAATTATATACAATTATATGAATAAATAAAAACCAAGACAATAGTACTGAATTTAATTTTGTAATTGAAATATTTAACATTGATCATAACGATGATTCAGTATGTTCTTTTGCGGTTGTTGTTCTTATTTGATCATCTCGAGTATTCAAACACAAAATCTTCAAGGCGGCCTCTCGGAAATCAGGCATTTTCCATGTATAAATAATCGGGTTCATAAAGGAATTGCAAAAGCAAATAACCAACGATAAAATGTAGACTCCGTGGCTGATGCCAACGAGTTTCTCTTTAACAGAGGGTTGCGCTTCATATGTTGCGAAAAACAGACAAGTCATAAATGGAGCCCAGCATATAAGGCAGCAAGTCAAAACAATCACCACAAGCTACAAAAATCATTATCATTAGGTATAAGGGTTTAAAATCAGATTAAAAAAGGGTTTACCTTTAAAGGTTTGCTGTTTTCCGGCATATGTGAGGATGCTATTTTATGTATTTTGATGTACATAAAAATCATCAATCCATCACAGCACAAAACAACAGCAAGTGGTCCAGCGAGGAAATAATTGAACGAGATCACCAGTGTTGTCTAAAAAATATGAGGCTTTAAATTAAGAAGTTACAATAAATATTTTGTAACTACACAAAACGTTTTTCCATTTCTGTTTCCTGGCCAGTTGTTTGAATATAAGGGAACTGAACCAATTAATAACGCAAGCAGAACACCAAGTGCAATCAAAATTTTTGCGTGCCTGGAATGAAGAAGTCGTTGTAAATCAAATTTAAATATAACAACCATAATCAGTGAAAAATCACCTCCTAGTCATAAAATTGCGATGAAACACCGGATATGCCACTGATGTGTACCGATCGAAGGCGATCAAGAAAATATTTATACTGGACGCAATAAGTGACACAATAATAGGCACAACAGATCCAAGACAGATTATTGCAAACTGGCTGTAATCTTCTTTGACTTTGTCATGTGAGAGCATTAAATGGACAACCATGTCATACGGAATAGAAAAACCAACCTGAAAAAGTAGGTTATTTTGGAAACACTGCATGAATTATATGAATTCTCTTACCACAAGATCTGATATCGCGAGTGCAATAATAAAAAAGTTGGACGCTGTGTTCAAATGTGGTGTTTTGATAAATGCAACTATTGTAATGAAGTTTCCGAGAAGAATAGCAGTAGTGATGATGAGCACTACTAAAATTGCAAGGGTAGTTTTTACAGTCACATCCATACTGAACACTTCAAAATAAGACGGGGTGTGGTGGCACCGTGGCAGCAAATTTGAGTTTTCGTTTCTTATCGTAACAAACGCGGCAACTGTAAGGAAGTAAAAATTGAGCTTAATTTTTATCTATGATTTAAAAGAAAATCCAACTATCAAAGTAACGCTGGAAATTTACTGCGTACCAAAATTATTATTGTAATCACCGGTTTATCATTATCAAACATTTCTAACCACTAAACAAAGATCGTTTGAAAAACTAATTTTTTTGGTATAAAAGATTATTTGATGTACGTATTTAATTAAAGTGATGAAATATTTATGGTCTAGATATTTTTATAAAATGAAATTTATTGTAAATTATATGTAGTACTGAAAAAATTACCTTATCAGAATTCGCTCCCCATTATGGAGTCAGGAAGGAGCTTAAATTGTCAACAATTTCCGCAATAAATTACATGCAGGCTCGCCAAACATGCCAATTAAGCAGGCAAGTACTTTAATGAACCTCTCCGCGAGCAAACTGCTATGATGCTGCTTTTTGTGCTTCCCTTGTCTTCTGCAACGTGCAGCGGTGCTGCATAAAAAGCAGGAACTTCCCGCAGCATACTGTGACCTATGCGCGCGTTGTAAATGAGAGAATTATTATGTAATATTACGATTGCCGCTCGCTGCAGAAGGAAGCCTTGATATAATATAGCGATAATAAATCAAGGCCTTTTTGAAACCTCAATTTATGATAAAGGTTTATTTCTTGTTATCTTCGCTAAATATTTTAATTATTTTTTGATAAAATATTAATAAATTCAAGAAATTTTTTTTTTTAATACTCATGGCAAAATCTTCACCAGTAGTGACAGCTTTTTGTAAATCAATTTTATATTTTCTGCTTTGTTGCTTTGTTGTATGCAACAACAATAAGCAGTGAAACCAAAAATACATGATGAAAATAGAAGGAATAAGAAGGAAAGTTTTAGAGAATTAAAATATATATAATTAATTTTTAAGGTTTTATCTTTTTGGAGAATGCAATGCAGGGTAAATTCATAAATTGACAGGTTACAATAATTTTAAAAAAATGATTCATAATTTTATTTAAACCCATTTTTTTTTTTTCAAGATTTGGCATTTCCCATTTTAGAATAATGAATATGAATATGCTATGTTGGAAAAATAATTTTTTGAAAACATTGGGGGATATTCACATGCTAACTTTCTTATGGGATTTTGCTGGTGCTAACTTATTGCATGTGATTATCCCCCATTATTGTTAATGTTTGCCACAAACTACAATAATTTATAATGGTAATAAAAGAAATGAGGAAAACGTTTCAAAATAATTTCAACATTCATTCTTAAAATTCAGGGGAATTGTCGAGCTAATCGTACTCTCAGACAATTAATAACAGCATCAAGCGAATAGCCGGGCCTCTCCCAAAAGAGCCATTTAATTAGACGGCGCAAATTAGCCATTGTGCAAAGAGCCGGTGATCTTTCACCGTCTCTGCGGAGTGGAAGGAACGAAAAAGGAGAAAGATCTTGGCGCTTCTGTTACTTGGAACGGCTGCGACATAAAACACCCGAGGCTACAGCTGAGCCATATTCCGTGTTCCTTTTCGCGACAAAAGAAAGAGTTCAAGCGCCGAGGTGCGCACACAGCAGGGGTCCCTCTCGTGTGTCTCGCGCCTGCTCTTGTTTCCCACTTTTCCTTTTTCTCCGCTGACGGCAGTGAATTGAAAAAGCAGCTCTGCGTAAATAATTCGTGGGCAAAAAGTCGTGTGGAATGAATGAGCAAGTAAACGAAGCCGAAGCGCGTCTCGGCGCGGAATTTACGCGTTCGTTGGTGGTCCATAAGAATGTTTGTTTACTCAGCTAAGTGCTTCTAAATTTATAAACGAGCGCAGTCAGACTTAATTTTTTTATACTTTTGGCTAAATTTTCAACCACAATTTCGTTCTATGTAAAATGTATTATAACTTCCATCATCTAGGATAAAATAAAAGATGAGTATTAGTAGTATTACTGAAAAAATATATTTTTTATATGGAGATTTTAGATGATAACACTTTTTCGATTCAAACTAAAAAGGTAATACTTATAAATCTTATTAGCAAATAGCAACTATAAACAGTAATATGCAATGGTTAGCAAAAAAATTGTTCCGAAGTATCTTAACACTATATATTTTGAGAGATCTGGAATAAGAGATCAATTGGTTTGAAACTCTTGTTCAAAAATTGTCTTTATTAAAAAACAGAAGAAGGATGTCAAACAATTTTGTTTTAAATCGCACGCTGAGTTTCAATGTCATGAATTTATCCCATACATTTTCTCTCTCTTTATATTTCTTATATTTATTATACAGTAGCTTGTTTAGAGAATTTTGAATTAATCAAACAATACAATCATAATATAAATTATTAAAAAATAATCGAAATCTTATTCTGAAATGATCGGGTCACCTGAAAAAAAACGACCTAATTTTTTATTGATTATAATTAAATTTTTAATTTCATTTCCTCAGCTTTTAACAAAGTTCTTATAAAAAATATAGAAATTTAAATAAAAATTGTTAGAATTTATTTAATTATTTTAACAAAATTCGTAGCAAATCGGCACCGCTAATCGGCGCCGCTAATCGGCGCCGCAAATCGGCGCCGCAAATCATGAGCGTGAGCTTTTTTTTAAAAAAAAAATAAAATGATTTAAATTTTTTTTCGTAAAACATATTTAATAAAACATATATTTCATCAATTTAGAAAACTTATTCTGAAATGATCGGGTCGGAACGGGTAACCTGAATAAAAAAACGACCTAATTTTATATTGATTATATTTAAATTTTTAATTTTATATCCTCTGCTTTTTATAATTTTCTTATAAAAAATATAGAAATTAAAATAAAAATTGTTTGAATTTATTTAATTATTTTAATTATTTTTACAAAATCCGTAGCGAATCGGCACCGCAAATCGGTGCCGCATAAGCGCGAGCTTAAAAAAAAAATGATTTAAATTTTTCTTTTCGTAAAATAAGTTTAATAAAAATATATTTCATAAATTTAGAAAACTTATTCTGAAATGATCTGGTTACCTGAATAAAAAAAATGACCTAATTTTATATTGATTAAAATTAAATTTGTAATTTTATATCCTCTGCTTTTTATAATTTTCTTATAAAAAATATAGAAATTAAAATAAAAAATGTTTGAATTTATTTAATTATTTTAATTATTTGTACAAAATCCGTAGCGAATCGGCACCGCAAATCGGGGCCGCAAATCGGCGCCGCAAATCGGCGCCGCAAATCGGCGCCGCAAATCATGAGCGTGAGCTTTTTTTTAAAAAAAATAAAATGATTTAAATTTTTTTTCGTAAAACATATTTAATAAAAAATATATTTCATCAATTTAGAAAACTTATTCTGAAATGATCGGGTAACCTGAAAAAAAAACGACCTAATTTTATATTGATTATAATTAAATTTTTAATTTTATATCATCTGCTTTTTATAATTTTCTTATAAAAAATATAGAAATTAAAATAAAAATTGTTTGAATTTATTTTAATTATTTTTACAAAATCCGTAGCGAATCGGCACCGCGAATCGGCACCGCAAATCGGCGCCGCAAATCGGCGCCGCAAATCGGTGCCGCATAAGCCCCGAGCTATATTTAAAAAAAAATGATTTAAATTTTTTTTCGTAAAATAAGTTTAATAAAAATATATTTCATAAATTTAGAAAACTTATTCTGAAATGATCTGGTTACCTGAATAAAAAAAATGACCTAATTTTATATTGATTAAAATTAAATTTGTAATTTTATATCCTCTGCTTTTTATAATTTTCTTATAAAAAATATAGAAATTAAAATAAAAAATTTTTGAATTTATTTATTTATTTTAATTATTTTTACAAAATCCGTAGCGAATCGGCACCGCAAATCGGCGCCGCAAATCGGCGCCGCAAATCGGCGCCGCAAATCGGCGCCGCAAATCGGCGCCGCAAATCGGCGCCGCAAATCGGCGCAGCAAATCGGCGCCGCAAATCGGCGCCGCAAATCGGCGCCGCAAATCGGCGCAGCAAATCGGCGCAGCAAATCGGCGCCGCAAATCGGCGCCGCAAATCGGCGCCGCAAATCGGCGCCGCAAATCGGGGCCGCAAATCGGGGCCGCAAATCGGCGCCGCAAATCGGTGCATCATAAGCGCGAGCTTTTAAAAAAAAATAATTTAAATTTTTTTCGTAAATTAAGTTTAATAAAAAATATATTTCATAAATTTAGAAAACTTATTCTGAAATGATCGGGTAACCTGAATAAAAAAACAACCTAATTTTATATTGATTATAATTAAATTTTTAATTTTTTTTTACTTAGCTTTTAATCAATTTCTTATATAAAAATAGGAATTTAAATAAAATTTTTGTATTAATTTAATTATTTTAACAAAATCCGTAGCAAGCTAAACCGTTAATCGGCGCCGCACATCGGCGCCGCACATCGGTGCAGCATAAGCGCGAGCTTTTTAAAAAAAATTATTTAAATTTTTTTCCGTAGAATAAGTTTAATAAAAAATATATTTCATATATAAGAAAACTGGAGGCTTTCATTTTTATCAATTTTTATTGAATTTAACATTTATAAATAAAGTTCCGAACTTTTGGCAGACTAGGTACAAACAGAGAAGCAATCAAAAAATCTAAAAAATGCCCGTTTCTATTTTCTCATTCTCAAAAACTGTAATTGCTTTTCTGGTGAACCGGTCCTGGATTTGTTCCCTCACATTCGTTTTGCAGACAATTGGCGGAAAGAAACATTTCTGCACCCTGCACGGACAAGGCAAAAAACTTCTCGCTGCCAAAAGTAGCACGGACGCCCGTTGATATTGTTGTGGGAATTGAATTTTTCCGTACGTGCCTCAATTTCGCGTTTAAAGCAAAGCCAATAACCGTCTGCGGATGTTGCGCCGCAAAAAGTGCTCGACGGACCAGGCGGAGTTTTATTATTTCCCAAGCACTTGCCACGCGCGTGTTTTTATAGCTCGGCCGTCATCTTTGCCGATGTTTGGAAAGAAAACCACAAATAATATGCCCACTACTTCTGTGGGATTTTTTCTTCTATTTATTTGTTCTCGTCACGCGGATCGATTACAAATTATTTATCTTGCGCGCACGAACGGCCCGCTAATGGATGCAGGAAAAGCGTTTGTGTTCACTCAATCTAAATGCGATGAGGAAAGTTTGTTTTTCTTCTAAAAACAAGGATATTTGTTTTAACGTGGTTCGTCCGGTAACGAGCGTAATTACAAGCGCCAAAAGAGCCTTTCACAATAATTTAGTCCGGCGAGTTTTTCCCCAGAGTCCTCTTTTATTGGCTTATTTAGAAAAGTTGCGAACGAACGGAAACTCTGTGCGTCTGGCCACGAGGCAAGCAGTATTTAGTCTCAATGAATTTACACCCAGAGAAACAACTCTTGATCTCTAAAAAAAAATTGGCTAATTTAAAAAGAAATTACGGCGACGAAGTCATTTGGTCTAGATTCTCATAGATTTTTTCAAAATTGGCACAACTATTTTGCATAGAAAATAAAATACATTAGATCCACCAAAATGAGCCTCTTTTCAATTATATTTAATTAAATAATATCATTATGGTTATCTTGAATAATAAAATAAAATATTCCATTATATAACTTGGCAGATTATTATATGAATTAGACTTAATATAAATTTATAGACAAATTTTTTATAATTTTTAAGGACATTACTTAAAACTACCACGTAAAATGTGCAAGGGCTGCTTTATTATGGAGCCCAGCTATTAGTTTTAATGGCTACCAAAATGCAAAAATTGCGAGGATAAATCAAAGGACATGCGGCAACTTTGGACCATTAAACCGCCAGTTTTGCGGCGTCAGATGAATGATGGGACACGCAGTTTCAAGATGGGCTATTACCGCAGCCGTCAGATATTATACGCTTTGTACGCGGTGCATGACACGGGCCATTTGGAGTGGCATCAAAGTGTGTTGCTGTAATTGCAGATGTCAGAGTTACACAGTGACTTGTATGACCTTTGGTCCGTTAAAATCTTTCTACCAACTGCGATCTGCAGGTTTGAACCAGAGATGACCTCTGCGCTTCAAACAACAGCTCGAAGAAGTGTCACAAGTTACTTTATAGAATAGAAAATTAAATTAAATAAGTAATTAAAATGAAATTACAATACAATTTCGTTATTGATATCATGCAGTTTTACAATCATATTTCAAAATCCAGAGTTAGCTAGGTCAGTCAGGACCTCGTAGAACTTCTTTTATGTATTTATTTTTTAAGCCAATTGATTATTACTACTTCAATTGATTGATTTTTTATCAGTGTAACTTTGAAGGAAATTAAAATAATTAAAGCCCTGCGAGTTAATTAATTCATTATTGACTGCTGTTGATATAATATGTTTTTTGGAACGTACGTTCAGAATTTTCCTCTCTTCCGAGTAACACTTATAAATCCTGACGATGACATAACATGTATTTCCTTATTGCGTTATAAATTTATGGATGAATAATGCGCACTAATGATGATTAAATTTAAACACAGCACGTTACAAACCCTTTTTTTGCTACTCCTCTTGTTTGCCGCTGGGAATTTTGCTGCGATTATTAAAATCTCGCGCGAGATCAAACTCAGCGCTCGCTCAAAACATGAATCCGTCAGAAATTCACAAATTTCACGCTCCAATAATTAAGACGGTTGGAAAAAACGAGATCGTTACGAGGAAAGCGTCTGCGTAGGTGTTAGAGATAAAGGGGTTGGATTTCTCACACAGCAAAAGATGAGCAAACAGACGACGAAGACGAAGAGAAAGCAGCAGTGAGAATTTCAAAAAGCCAAGAAAAGCTCTCTCGACCAAAGAAACTAAAAAAGCGGCTTGGTTACGCAGCGACGAAAACCAGCACCTCGTCGCCCTCATTAAGCAAAGAATTGCGGCGAGAGGCGTTCAGATAGATATGCAGGAGAAGAAAAAGTACGTAGCCCCATTTCTCTCTCAGCCCAAAGAATGAGAGAAAAATACACCCCTGTATATTTATGCAGGGTGCTTTGTTGGGGAAAATCTCGACAGGCACCAAGGATCAACCAACCAACCAACTGCCGCCGATGGGAAAGAAGGGTGTGTATTGATTTCCATTAAGATCTGCCAGACAAGCTTGTAATTTGAATCGACCTATCCGCCTCAGATTGAATATTGCTCTAGAGCAAGAAGGAATACGTAAATTGACAATAAATTGAAAGTACTTGGCCTTAATTGAAAAGTTAAGAGCCTTTATGATTTGTCTCGCGCTTCTCTCTCTCTATTTGTAAAACAAGAGAATGTCTGTGGAAATTAATTAATGAAAAAATTCCATAAGTTAATTAAAGTGAAAACGAATATAAGTTTTATATTTATTTTTCAGGATTTATCTCAAAAACTGCTTTTGCAACAGTTGCCTTTTCCAAATTCCTCATCGCCTCTTCGTAACCACTTAAAGGAAAAGATTTCACCCCCAGTCTATCATAATCCAGATATCTATAAAAAAACGTCAATTCTTTTTAGATATATTTTGATTATATTTAAAAAAAAAAATACCTTGGTCCCATCATCTCCAAGATGGCAATCGCTTCTGGGAATGTGAAAGGGTTAGTCAGTGCTCCGAGAATGGTCAACTCCTTCTTCATGATGTCGTAGGGAGAAACCCTGAGGGAAGCAACATTGTTATCACGGTATGCGCTCTATGTTTGCAAAACTCACTCCATAACGGCAGTGGGGTTGGCGACTCCAAAGATCATCATTTTTCCACCCATTTTTATCCACTGGAACGCCTGTTGCATGGCCGGGGCAAAGCCACTGCAATCGACCACCAGGTCAAACTCAGGGTTAGTGGCTGCCAGGTCAGTAGGAGAGGTCAAAGTGTATCCAAGCTCTATTATTTTTCCGAGGAAGAAAATATTGATACTTGTAAATACATGCAAAAAAATACGTTTGAAAAACGGAGATTTCTTTGTAGATAATTTTTTTTAACAAAAAATTTAAAATTAAAACAAAAATAAGAAGGAAAAAAATTACTAAAAAATCATAACCTGATAAAAACCATTTTGTTAATGAATTGAAACTGTTTTTTTTTATGTCATAATGGATCTTTTCTATTACCAACCAATTTTTTTTAAGGCTTTGCCATTTGTTATTTTCTTTGAATGTTTACCCAGTTTCTCGACCAATTTTCGTCTGGTCTCCTGCGGCTCACTAATGGTGACATTGCCCCTGTGCCCATTCAAGTGGAACAAGCACGCCCACAGGTTGCCGATGATGCCGGCGCCCAAAATCAAGATTTTGCTGTTGTGCGGCACCGCGCCGAGTCTGCTCCAGCCATGGGCGATGCACGACATCGGCTCACAAAGAGCACCTGCGCGCACAAATTAATTCCCATCAAAACATCTCCGCAGGCTCACCTTGCTTCAGGGTGACAGAGTCGGGCAGTTTGTAAACCTGGCCTTTCCTCGCCAGACAAAACTCGGCCCAGCCGCCGTCCGTCAGAATACCTATTGTTCTACTAAAAGTGTGAGAATACACAGATGGAAAACAATAAATTAGTCCCCATAAGCGGTCATCATGCGTTTTTTAATTTTTTTATATTTAAAAAAAAAAAATAGGCTATCTCACCTGACATTTTCACACCTGTGATACGAGGCGTTCCAACAAGAGGCACAGTGACCGCAACCACTAAAAAAATGAGATTATTACTATTAAATTTCCTGGTGTTAAATTTATCTTTTTTCTAATTTTAAAATTGGTTTAGCTAGAATCTTGGAAATATTGATAATTGCAATTCAAAATTAAGTGTGTATGCATTTTTTTTACCTATTTGGATCAACAACTACTCTGTCTCCCACCGACAAGTATGTGACTTCCTTGCCAACAGCTTGGACCACTCCCGAAAACTCGTGTCCGAGGGAAAATGCCGTTTTCTTGCATGGAAATTGGCCCTGTTAGAGAAAATGAGAGAGGAGTACAATTTTATTAACCATGAAAAAAAATTAGGATTATTATTATTAATGTAATGTGACAGTTTGAAATATTAAAATCTTATTTTTAATAAATATACCTTAAATTATATGCAAGTTGAGCTGTGGGCACAGGGTACTCATGTATATGTTTATATTTAAAATCAATTAATAAAATCTTCTTGACGTAAGTAATTATATTTATTGATAAAAAATAATTGTATTGTAAAAAAAATGATTAATTCAAAATGATCATAGTGTATAAATTAGAAAAATAAGTCCAGATAAGTAAAAATATTTAAATAATATATATTAAATATTTAAAATTTGATTTATTATAATGTTGAAAAATCTAAAAACAAAATTGAATAACAAGCAATATACATTATAAATTAAATGTATATAATAAAAAAAACATTGTTAATTTAGCATCACTTTATTACTTGGAAGTAGCAAGTGTTTAGGGCGGTGATTATGCAAAGTGCTAATGGGGGCAAAAATAAATGAAAATAACACTCACATGAATGACGTGCAGATCAGTGCCACAAATCCCAGAGTAAGCAACTTTAACCAAAATCTCGTCGGGCCTTGAAAGCTCCGGCTTGGTGACCTCACCAAAGGTCAGCTTCTTGGTGCCATAGTCGAACTGAATCGCCGTGTGAGGACTCATACTTTCTTCTATTCTGGGTGAGGCGAGATTTGGAAGAGAACTCCAGAGTTTGTTTTCCTCGAATAAATAGCCGCCTCAAGAGACTGACTTGTCTTGGTCGGGTCGTGTGCACAAATCGGACGGAACAGTTTTATCTCTGTTTAAAAGAGACGACCGGACCCGGTGACTTTCGGAATGCACGAGACGACAAGTTTTATCCAGAAGCACACAGAGAGCTAAAAAACACTGAATAAACCAAATAACCCCTTTCCCTAGTGACTATCGAATCTAAAATACAAATAAGTTGCTTTAATCAAAATATAAAATTAAAAAAATTTCAAAATTCGGCCTTCCTGTTTATTATTTTTTTTCAACTGCAGCGGAGTGCGATAGTTTAAATCTTGCTAAAGTTATGATGCCAGTTCCTAAGAGAAGAAGAAATAAATTAATTAATTTTTAATGACCATGTTTATCATATCATAATTATTGCATTTCTTTTCTTGTTTTCTCTGTTATGATATTGAGATGGTTATTTTCACTGATAAGCTGATAAAGAATGGTCTTTCCCTTTGGAACATGTTATAACTTGTCAATTAGGAAGTAAAAATTTTCGTTGTTGTCAAACAGGTTAAAATATTATACCATTTACAAAATTTAAAATTATTTCATGAAAATAAATTGAAAAGTATATAATCACATGGAAAAATAAAGTTGAAAAGTTTTTATTTTCAGGGACAAGCTTCTAATTGAAGCAGGTATGCACAATTTTTTATTTCTCACTTTTGCAAGTATGCCTTTGATATCAAACCAGAGAGCGCGGCGCTGAAAGGAATGCACCTACCTGTTTTGCCTCACAGTAAACTCCACAAACCTGCCGACAACTCTGTGATGTCTGGTTATTCTCGGCTGCCTTCATAACGTATCAGTTTTCCACACACTTTCACAAAGGCGCGCTGCATATCGCGGTAATAATTTTTAGTAACCCTTTAATGCCTAGCTCCAAATCTATTAATTGTAAACTGTTTGTTAAAAAATTAAATGTGCATTATCTATTTGTTTTCCAATTTCCTGCACAATGTTACATTATCACTTACATCAAAATTTGCGATATAACATTAAATTTAGACCCCCCCCCCCCCCCGCTAAAAAAAAGCTATTTTACGACACTTTCTATCAAGACTGTTTCCTTTTACATAATTTAATCAAATTTAATAACTATATTATATTTTTATCACCGATAATTTAATTTTTGCATTATTTTTACTTCATTGCAAAAATTATTTGCAAAGTTTCCTATATAAACTTAAAATGATATTTATGCTCCGCTGAAGTGCGCCTTATTCCTGCGCCAGAATTTCAACAAAGGCCATGGTGTCGACACCGCAGCACCACAGAAAATTTTAATAATGTACCACATACATAGAATAGAGATGCATTCACTGCAGGAATTTCATTTCACGAATGCAATACACGGCAAAGTGGGCAAGAAGTTTGTCCGATGCAGCCTCAACTATTTGCCGGCTGGTCAGCAGCTGCAGGGAGTGTGCTCTGAGTTACTAACTATATTATGTTTACCACTAGCTTTACTTATGCAGATAAAATTGAGGACAAGCAATTTCAAAATTTTTTTATAGTTGTAACAATTTTCTTGGATCGGGTTCTGGAAATTTTGAATGAGGCCGCGGCAAAAATATTGAAAACGATATTTTTTCAAAAAATATCGTTTTCGTTGATATCTGAACGGATTTCCCGTAGTTTAGGCTGCAGTGCGGCGAGTAGTCGGGTATTTATCGCCCCTTGGCTATGCTATGAGTTGTTCACTAGCACAGTGTGCCTATTTTTCTCCAAACCAATTTTTCACAATTGATTGTTTGACTTGTTTGGAGAAAAATAAAATGAATTGAATTGAATTTTCCCTCATTGTGAGAAACTTCATATATTTTTTGTACAGTTGTCAAAATTTTCTTGCATCGGCAGGTTCATTTATCTTGGATTCTGGAATCTTGAGATTTTTTAAGGCACTCTTTGCATTCCTCTTTATCATCTAAATTAAAAAAGTTGAAAATTCTGCATTTTTTACTTTCTCATACACAATATGTTGTTGATTTTTAGTGTTGAAATTACTTTTGGTTGGACAAAAAACAAACATTTAAGTGGATTAAAAGTTCCATTTCCAAAACAATACATACACCACCATATTGCTTAGAAGTTTCGCAACAAAGTTTGTGACACAACAACACGCCTGTCAACAAATTTAATTGAGCATCTCCATGAATAATTCAGACATTGGCGTGGAAGTTCCAGATGTGCATATCCGGGCATGGTGCGACGGGGTGAAACACACACCCACACAAACGACTGATGGCATCACACTCGGCCAGGTCGCGCCGGTTGCATACCATAACGGGGCTCATTTCATTTGCACGAGGCATGTCCGACCGCATTACTCGCAAATGCACTTGCTGACCGACGGACACACACCGGTGCAGATAATGGCGCGTCCTATTGTTTGTGAGCACTTTCGAGACGAGTGGATGCTGGATGGACGCGATCGCGCAGTAGTCATTACGCTGCGATGAATAATTGACAGAGGCAGCTATTAGCCGCTGAAACAAGGAGCGATCGAAGATATAGAAATTATTGACTACCCGCCAATTTAGTCTTCAAATTAATTACAGATATTTTGTTAAGTTATTTTCCAAAAAAATAATTAATTATAAAAAAAAAACTTCAAACATGTTTTGAGCTAAATTTTAGTGACTTTTGGTATTTTGCCATTTTTGGAAGCAGAAACGAATCCTTGTAGCAAAAGAGAAATAAAAAATGTTCAAATTGTATTGTAAGAAAAAATTAATATGTGACCGTTTTCATTTGCAAAAAGAAAAAAGTCTAAACTTTCAGTCTCATTTATCAGTTATTAATTGAAAAAAATTCTCTTTGTATTGGGGTGGGAAAAAGTTTGGGTATTATTATTATTTTTTAATTATTTTATGTTCTCGCACCTTTGATTTATTACATATTCTAGATTAGGCTTTAATTTTTGGCCCATGGATTATGAATTTTGCAGGTCAGTGCATCACACTCTGCCTTTGATTTGTTGCTTTGGCGCCGTGGGCGAAATCAAGGGGCGATGCAGCACACAGAATTATATAGATAGCCGTATGGGGTGTTGTGAGCTCTCGGCTGTGCCTCTGCTGATCCTAATCTGTTTGTGCACATACGTGTTTGCAATCTAGCTCTTCTGGGTTTGCTGCAGACCCCTGCCCTACTCTGCTAAAGACACAAGGGCCGACGGCCCCCCTCAATAATGCAGGTGCTTTTGGTGTACAAGCGCCTGAGCACCTCAGTCGCTCGCTCGCCCGCCACTTGATGACAAACATCAAGAGCCGGTGCCAAATTTAATTGCGGTTTAAACAGAGGCGGATCTGGTATTATGTTGACAACAATCACATGGTGTGCTTCGTTGCGTAATTAATACATGAAATTATGAAACAGCTGCAAATAAATTTTTGTAATATAAGTATCAATTTCTTTGTTTGACAATTAAAAATACTCTTTGACTATATATATATAAAATCAGCAAGGACAGCAAGATAGGGATAGAAGCTATATGCCTCTAGAAAATTTTAATAAAATATGAAACAACATCATAATATAGTGGTAGCAGGTATGTAGCGGTCAGCGGTTTCCCACTGCCACTACATAAAAAAAAAAACACATTAAATGTTATTGATGTATTGATAAAAGTATGCAACTTGCTCGACTTGGCTGCAAGAAAGTTTGCATAAGTTAAAAATTTAGGTTTCGATTTGAAACTGGGCTGTATAATAAAATAAGTAAATTTTATTTCTTTTCTTTAAACTATAAAAATAGAAGCGAAAAGGGTTCGAAAAAATCATCTGTTTTTAGAATATCTCCCTTCTTCAAAATTATCTGCGTTAAGAATTTGTTGTGATTTGGATTTTCAAAATACAAATATACAATACAATAGTAAACTTTTTGCAACATAGAAAATTTTTCCCTGCTAATGATCTATTTGTTCAATTGCGACAAAGAAGCAATTAAAGGTATTTTTAAACTGTGACGCCACTGCGGCCTTTGAGTTGCTTTAAGTGTAATTAGCCCTCCACATCTACTATATAACTAATAAATTGCAGTAAAGCTTATGTTGCAGATTGCACCGCATCTAGACTCTGCACCACCTGCAAACACACCAATGCAGTAACCACTCAGAAATAGTCAGAAGTCAGAAACGACTAACTTAATGAAGTATGTGGTGTAGGTTTCTATTTCATTTGGTGCCACGTGAATACCAAATCAAAGCAAATAATGTTTCATTAATGATTTTTGATGCTCGTCTTGAGCTTTTTAAGAGCAAAACTTTGTAATCCATGCATTTTCACAAATTGAAATGTGGTGCAGTAACGACTTTTTGGACCTACTCAAAATTCCACATGCAGCGACGTCTGATTAGATTATGTTATTTGCTTCGGGTTCTGCAAAATTTTGAGGGTCGAGCGTGGGACGTGTTTCTGTGTGCAGAGGCACTCCTTTGTGTTGCTAATAAATTTAATTGACAAATTTCAACATAATTAAGACGAAGCTATGCCTTTGCTCATTAGCCTGTGTAGCTTCTTAATTTTCTTCCAATTACCAATGAACGTTGATGCTTTGAGCAGCTTTGTGAGGCCACATGGAATTTTAATACTATTATTTATCAATAATAATTCATGAAATTTTGAACACAATTACTAAGCAGTTTTTATTTTTCATGCTTGAAGCATTGCAGTGTTACAACATGTGGAATATGGTAGTACAAAATACATTAATATTTCAGCTTTCAGCATAATTTTTCAGCAAGAAGGAATAAAAAAGTTTCCTGATAATTTTTATTTCAACATTTTTTTTTTTTTAGGACTCAATTTCGTCATTCCTCTTGAATTTACAAATCAGGTGTTTACAAATTTGAATTACAGTTAATTGACATTGGTTAAACATAAGTCACACGTGTGTTGGTTGATATTCAGCGTTTTTCAATATGCATTTCAGGCCACGACAAACTCACTAATTTACAATACATTTGACTTTTTGTTATAAATATACACAACGAAGGTTATTAAACTCGTTCGTTAGCTCAAAAATATACATTCAGTCCACTCAGCTTTACACCAGTTAAGTATTTCTCATAGATCAATAATATCTTCTACTGCATTAAGTTTGCTGGAACTAAAAAAATTTGAGTACAATAATAAGAATAATGACAGATGCAAAAATAGCCTCAAGAAATAGTGCTACGGAAATACAAGCAATATAATTAGAAACTTAATAGTGGAGAGATAAATTGACAACTTGCAAAATTATATTTTGCACAAAATAATCATAGGTAACTTTGTATTTGTAGTTCAGTAAAACAAAAAAAGAGGTTACAACAAGTAAGTCATATACATAAGCCCATTTTGATATTTTTTTCAGAAACGTCAGATTCAGTACCAGTAATACAAACATTTTAATGATTTTGGTGTCTGAATATTCCCAGCTAGTTTGCTTGCAGGATAAACATCGACATAATTAGAATAAGGCAGGGGTGGATAAATCCTACCGTTATGTTATCAGATAAAATAGTGTTCCTTCGGTCCGCTCCCTATTGTTATTCCATAAAATAAGCTCTTTGCATTTTTTGTGGTTATTGAGAGGAATTTTCTTTCTATTTGATGATTTTTAAATTAAAATTGGTGAGAAAAGTAAGATTATCTTTTTTGTCAATTTAGAATTAAATTAACTTTGAATATTTAAAAAATTATTTGGAAAAATTCCGAGAAGTAAAATTCCAGATCAGCAGAATAATCTTAGGGAAGGTTAAATTTCAACTGGCACTTCAGATTCTCATTTTAAGATTCAATTAGGCGGAAGAGACGGTCATTCTGGTCTGTTTTGTGACCATGACCCTCTCTCCTTGGGCCAGTTCTCCGTGTCGGACGGCTTGCAACTTGAGGTAGGCGTCAAAGCCGTAGCCGATGGAGGCGCAGAAGCCGAAGAAGGCGGCTGCTCCGAAGGCGCTGTCGATGGAGGCGTAGTCGACGCACAGACTGGCGCCGACTAGGTAAAGGAGGCACCACAACAAGCAGAAGCCGAACTCGATCTTGAGCCAGGGGATGCGGAAGAACTTCTCAATCACGTGGAAAATGTAGAAGAGCAGCAGAATGCCGGTGAACCAGAATCCGATTCCAGCCAGGGTCTTGAAAAAGACGGCCCTGGAGAGGTGCGAGTAGGAGGAGAGCAGGATGCAGAAGAAGCTGAGGATGTTGCTCGCCAGCTGGACAATCTTGACCAGCCCAGGCAGGGTGCGCAGGTAGAACGGGTCGTAACGCAGGTCTGTCTGCACAACTGTGTTCGAGGTCGTCACTCGAGTAGTCGTCGTGTGCTGTCCCGGAAATGCAGCGTCGTCCATTGTGATTCAAAGTATGTTGTCAAGATCCTGAAACAGAAAATCGATTTAGTTTATATGCCATCAGCATTCAAACAAGTCCTTTGTTATTTTCTACACACATTTAACTTGAGGATTTAAATAAGAAAATTGGAATAACATTTATAAGTAAAAGTACGTACATAGTATATATGAAATATTATATTATTTTTTCAATAATGTGTCTTAAATCCAATAACAGCTTTGAAAAAATTAATAAATTGCTGGTGTTATGAATACAAATGGAGACATTTGTTTGGTGACCTGTAAATTGTGCATTCCAGTGATCCAAATTTTATTTTCTGTTTTCGTTGTTGAAATATTATATTCGCTACAAAAAAAGTAAACATGATTTCTTGTCTTTGGAATTTCTATTTTCAATGCTACCAAAAGTAATATCGGGCAACATGGATTGTGTTTTATTTGAGCTGCGCAAAAAAGTTGAAATGAAATTATCTTTATAATTGTTGCTGGCATAAAATCATCATGAATTTACATAAATAAGCTCTAAAAATGATTTAGAAAACTATAAACCTGGTGGGTGTATTCATATTGAAGCACCTTATTTTATCAATCTTTTTAAATATTAAAATAAAAATAAAGATTTTACTTGAGAGAGCTGCAAGTGGTTTGTTTACCTTGGAGAAAGCAGAAGACGGATGGAAATTGATGGAAATCACTAATTATTTTTGCAGTGGGCAGTGCCGTTCTTCGCTACGCTTTACGCATATAATGCGGTTTGTTGTTTGTTCCGTGCGTTTGAGGAAATTGACGCGTTAATTAAATAATTTAATTGTGGGCAGTGTCCACCCAACAGGACTAACCAAGGAATTGCCAAGAGGTGCCAACACTGTGAAGTTGAACAACGTAAATAAACATTTTTACCGACAGCGAGTGGAACTGTTGAAAGGGAGACACTTCGTCGCCACTTCCCCCACTACGGTTTCAAGCGATATTGAGCCTTATTACAGACATAATTATATTATTGACAAATTATTTTTGTTGAAACACTCAATTTTAGATCTATCGCCATGAGAATGAGTGAGAATAAAAAAAATTGCCTGCAAAGAAGCAAAGTTTTGAATTTAAATGAATAGAATGAATATATTTAAACAAAAATAGTATTTATGATATAATTTAAAGTAAAAACTCTGACAAAGATTATTTTAAAAAGAAAATTCAAGTTTGATTTGAAGCTTTTAATGGAAAAAATATTTATGATTTCATTGTTCATTTATATGAAAAACGTCAAAGAAATTTGAAATAATTTTTTTTTTTTTGTGAAATAATTTTGGATGTGAATTTATTTTGTGATGCTCCATTGCATACAAGCTGAGCTGCTATTATCATGAATCATGACTTATAATTTGCAATATAGAATAAAGTTTTTTAGTCTAGAAAATACTTATTCAATTTTTAAAAACAAATCTTTTTCCAAATTAAAAAATAATGTGAAAATGAATTGATTAATATTTCACTAAAAACAAAGGTTTGATAAAAATAATACAATGTGGTTTTTTTTTCAATTAATAAACCATTATTTTATTTACATTCCCTTCATTCGCAATGAAACGGTATAACGCGAAAGTATGAACGCACATTTGTCATGAAAATAAAAATCTACTGAAACTGAGTAGAAGTATTTGTCAATGCGATAAAATACCACGTAAGACTTTTCCAGAGTTAAACATTAATGGTGATGTGTCTAAGAGACACAAATTGTTATTTAAAAATTTAAATTTAATAAACACTCACTGTCGAAAGCAAAATTAAAAGGTAGAGACAGGTTATTCCGTTGCATCACACTGTTATTTACAAACAATAATAATAATTGAAATGATTATAAATCTGCACATTTAAACAAAAATCAGTTGCTAATCTATTTTGACAAACAAGTGACGAGTAATATTTTTTTGACTTAGATTCCATTTTAATTTATATAATGCAATGTTCATTTTCATAATATATAATCCCCTCAATTTCTGCTTCACATCGTAATTAATTCCAACATTTTCATCGACACAAATTTCATAATTATTAATCATTTAAGTTACGAAGGATCAATGAATTATTTATTATTATTCAACAATCACCAAAATGTCATGATTTATATAAGAGTGAGTTTCGTGCTGTTTCATGTCATTTTCATAAGTGAGCCACACCTTTGATTTTCGTAACAGATGTTTGGTAAAATCTTTTGATGCACAAAATTAAAAATCAAAGTCCAGTGAAATTTGCTGCTGCAAACATTGTAAATTGTAAGTTTCAGTCATATTTCGATTTTTAGAGTTTAATATTAGCATAACAAGGAACTCCGTGAGAGTGATTCACTTCCACAACGTCAAAGATTACAACGAGTCCAACTTCCTTAAAATGTAGATAATTCAGGAAAAATGCTCATAACGCAAGAGAGAAGTCTTGAATAAACAAGTTGAATTTTCAAAAAAAACCATTTAAGTATAAAAATCATAAAAGGGCTTGGCAAAAATCCCATCCGGACGGCAAACTCTTTCTATATGCACTAACAATTTTCTCCTGCTGCGTTTTTTTTTTACATTTGTCACCCGAAAATCTGTCTTTCTGCGGCATTAGTAGATTATTATAAAAAATAAGATTATCAAAAGACTATTTGATTGATTACAGTGTTTGTCAATTTAGACTCGTATAAGAGATTTCTTGCTTTTCGTCTAGGTACACATGCAGCAGTGGCAAGGAAAATTGGAGGACTTGACATCTCTGAGTGATTATTTGCATGCATTGGTATTTATTATTAAATGTTAGTTGATTGGTTTGTCCATGGAAGCAAAAACTGGTATGGCATGCATAATAATTTTGAGCTACTCATGTCTGTGCTAAAACTACATTACAGAACATTTAAATATGTGAGTTGTTCCAATCAATAAATCATCAGTTCAAATTATTACTTGTGCTTGAATTCAACTTTTTTGAGCGTCCCAGGTATTAAAGCACACAGAAAACTTTAAAGGTCTAAACTCTGCCAACAACAATACATCAATTTACATTCATGTATGATCAATCAAGTTATTTGGAGCAACATAGTGCATATTTGTCCTAAACATTTCTATTTTCCAACAAAGAGGGCCAATTGGTACACACGCATTGACATATGAGCGAATTATCCTGCAAATTTCCTGTCTTTTCTTTGACACACCACTCGAGCTAAAATTTTGTAGGTTCTTTTTGTCCAGCAAATGAGTTCCAGAATACCAGCATTACGATTTCACTACACTACTTAGAGAGGGCAAACAATAAGTTAGACGTGGACAAACTTAACAATATAACTACATATTTAGATAAGAAAATACAGTGGGGAGTCTATACGACTTGTTGTTATAAATAGGTAATATTTAGGTACGCAATGTCCGTCACAGAAGACAATTTCACTAAATAAGTTTGTTCCATTGTCCACTTGCAAACTCTAAATTGTCTGATTTTGCAGCTGTTGCAATTTTAACTTAACTTCTTTGAAACTCGGTCTATTCTCTGCATTCAGATTCCATGCCTGGAAATTAAAATGTTATTTAAAAATAACTCCGCCGTAACAAGTTAATCCAATAAAAGTTGATTTGTATAAAATAGTCTTACCTCTCTCATGATCTGATAAACTTCGGGTGGGCATCCTTCAGGGGCTTCCATTTTGTAGCCTTTTTCAACATGTTTTACCACGTCAGCAAGAGGCTAAAAACAAATAATTTTAGTTTTGTCCAATACAAAATACTTAAATTATCTTACTATTCGCGGATAAGGCACTCGTCCAAATGAGTAAATTTCCCAGAGCAAAATTCCAAAACTCCACATGTCGGATTTATTGGAAAATTTCTGCAAATAAATCAATAAATGTCCAGTCCTTGGTGGACTAACAATTAGTTACCCCATGTTTCAAAGCCTCAGGTGCTGTCCATTTGATGGGAAGTTTGCCACCCTCTGCAGAGACGTTCTCATCCCTGGCCAAGCCAAAGTCAGAAACTTTTGCCAGACCTTCCTCAGAAATGAGAACGTTTCTCGCAGCTAAATCTCGATGGATGACCTTTCTAGACTCTAAGTACTCCATGCCAGAGCAAGTGTCACTGAGGATGATAAGAAATTAGCGTCGCACTAAGTCGCAACTACGATGCAACTCACTATGCAAAGTGAATCTGATCCTTCTTGGTGACATGTTGCCTGCCTCGGGATCTCAAGTAGTCGACCAGACTGCCCTTGCTCATGAATTCGGTGACGAGACAGATGTGCTTGTTGTTAACCACCAAGCCAAGCATCTGCACCAGATTCTCGTGCCTCAGCGAGGTCATGAGAGATGCCTCTGCGAGGAACTTCTGTGCGGCTTCGCTGCCGTCTTTTAGTCTTTTCACAGCCACCTTCTCTCCGCGCAGAATTCCCAGCATCACGTCACCAAATTCTCCTTTTCCAATAGACTCTCGAATCTATAAAAGAGTAATTCAAATGTTGAAATTAATACAGCAGAAAAAAACACTTACAATAAAGTTGGAATTAAATTAACTTGAAAAAAAAAATTGGAGCACAAAAATGGCATGGACCAACAAGACAACATACTGTGTTGGCCTGACCAAAAATAAAAACATTAAAGAAAGATTTCAACAACATTATGATAACCATTTGATTCCCATGATTTCTCAGATTACTAATTAATAAATAATGACAAGAAACGTCCTGTAAAAGCTCCAAATAATGAAATTAACTATGATGTTCAATTTTGGCTTTTCCTTGATGATTTTTTTGAGAATGATGAAATTGATATATTTTTCTGTTTAAAACCAATCAACGACTTAAAAAAGCCCACTTCTAGTTCAATCTTCATGAGTTATGGATGGAGAAATTCCTGGTATTTGAATCTAGATTTGGCTTTTGGTAGTTTTTTTTTTAGTTCTCAATAATACGACTAAAAAAAACCACCAAGGAAAAGTCAAATCTCAATTCAAGCACCGCGAATCAGCGATAATGATCACAAGATTCTACTACAAGAAGAGTAATTAGTTCACACCAGGACTGGCATAATTTATTTTACTTCGAAACATAAATTGTGAATATTTATTGATAATTTCTTACATCAAGTTCATGGTCTTGGATCACCCAGCCAGCCTCCACAAACGCCTTGGTGTCAACACAATATTCCTGTTTGCCAGCTTTGGGTAGGCTTTTTATCAACTGCGTGCAGAGTCCGTCAGCATCTTGTTCATAGTGCTAAGGTTGTTAAATTATAGAAGAGTTCAATGGCGTATTAAGAATAACCATACCTCAACTAACTGTCCGAGGGTTTCGAAGAATTCTTCATCGTCGATGGTTAGTTGCTGGTCTTTGTACTTGACCCTGTAGTGCTCCACCTTGCCCTGGAAGCAGACGCAGAGGGTGTAGTCGCCAGGGTAGTTTGTCGACTCGCGAACTAGGAAGAGGCCGTCCTCTCGAGGCATCAACAGCTGTTCTGCCTGTTCTCGGGATATCTTGCCGTGAAACCACCTAAGGAAAGAAAGAGGAAAATTGAACTAATAAAAAATCTCATGGTATTTTCATAATTTCTTTATTATTACAGAATTTCCATTCACTAAAACTAAAGAATTTAAAATGCAAACTCAATGAATTATTGAATTCAAGTAAAAGGATCAATTATAATTTTTCAGTAAGTTAGGGTGCATTTAATTATATTAAAAGAAATATAATCATAATTAAAAAAAACTTTGCAATTAATTTAGCTCCACATTCCCCTTCACTTCTATAATTTGGCAAACTTGCGAGCAAAATCTCCCAAGTTGACAATGTGAATTTTGGCACTTGTTCTGCATGGGAGATCCCAGCGCAGCATTGGAAATAAAATTAAACTCACGGCATGGCATGCAGCTTGACTTCTTGCCTCCGGGGGGCAGCCGGCGGCACGTATTTGTTGTTGTCCATGTTGCAGGGGGCTGGAGGGGGCGGCGCTGTCTGCTTGCTATGTGGTGGGTACCAGCCCCCGTCATTGAGCAGAGGATTTGCGATTACAGGCAATCTCTGAAAAAATTTGATTAAAATGTAAAAACAACAACCAGGTGATTATTCTAGCACAAAAATTACTATATTTTGCTTTTGCAACGTTAAACTCTCAAAATAAAGGATTTTACTCCGAAAGGTGTTGTCCATTGTAACAAGCAGAAGGCCATGAGTGTTCTGGCCAAGCAATGAGTGAGTTCATCAGGAACAAAGTTACATAATTATACGTAGATATGCACTCGGAAGTAGCGGCTAGTGACGCCAATGATAGAATTATCAAAAAGATTTGTAACTATTTTAAGTACTAAAGTTCCTTGTTTTAATTAAACGCAAAGATACGCACCTGCGTCAAAGTCGTGTTGTGCAAGTTTTGGCTCATTACTGCTCGAGGAGGGTTGGCGACTGGGGACTGGCGTGCGATTCACATTTCAACTGTGTGGTCGGCGCTGACAGACGAAACCTGAAACATACATCATTCGAATTTGTTATTATTGCTGCTACAAAAAGCCTGCTGTAATTTAAGACACTTAAGACACAAAGGAGGTGCCTTCGGGCTAAATTATGCTTGGGAACGTAAAAAATATCATAATTGTGAGTCAAATCCTGAGTAATTTATTTTGTTCTGGTTTAATTTGATGGTGCTGATCTAATTAATTAATATATTTATATAAGAAAGTTTGTTTTGATTATTTTCTATAATTTTATTTTTAAAGTTTTTCATTGCATAATTTTTTCTAATAACTTTTTCAAGTACAGAAATTTTCCATAATTTAGTGTAATATTTCTTTGGTAACACTGTAATTAGTTACCATCTCATTTTTTTTTTTTAATAAATAAAAGAAAGAAATTAGTTTTGTTTTTCCTTCAGGAGATTGAAAATAAATCCCAGTTCATTTGAGCTGATTTGAGCGAATTTCAAAGGCAATTCTGGATTGTCACGTTGTTCCGGTGTTTCCACACAGATTTGCCGCCCTGGTGCGCGCCTTGATGGGCGAGCAAACGTCCCAAATCAATATTTATCAAGCGCCGAGCGAGGCAATTTCCTTTTACAGGAGGCGTCGTGCGCTGGCAAATTTCACTTCCACGCTCATCCCGATCGATGCCAAGATCAAGGCTACGTTCGTAGGATGAAAAATTACGATTTGATAAAGCTGCAAAGCGGGAGAAAGGGAAAGAGTTGGTTGAACCTTTTGACGTCTGCCTCACTTCCCACTCGGCCCAATGAAAAATTAAGAAAGAAACTGCGACTGGCCCAAACATGGCCAGCACGACCGAGGCGTGTTCTCTGCTTAATTTTCGTTACACGCGTACATAAAAGCGGTGAAAAGAGCCTTAATGCAATAGCTATGCAGCCGCGCCCAGAAACCAATACAGCACGCAGAGGTGATTTTGATTAAATTTGCTTTGGCTTTCGCCGGAACTGCCGCTTGGGCGCAAAGCGGAAATTTTTGCACCGCGCTTTATCATGTGTGACTCGCACGCACGTAGAAATTAGCCAGTCACACCCTATCATTTGAATGCACGAGGCCTGTCTAATTTAAATACTTATTATTCAAACTGAAACAGCACTTTATGCAATGAGACATTATGTAAAATTTGACAACGGTTGACAATATGTTACGATTAGGTGATACTTGATGATTATTAAAGATATATAATTTTTAAATTGGATTTGCTAAAAGATCATGTAAATTTTTTTAATTTAATTAAAATAACACAAAAAAGCTAGTTTGAATCGACAAAAATACAATCTTTTTCTTAATCTTATTTAATGCATTTTTTTCCAAACAGGTTATAGACAAACAATGTTATGTGAAGAATTTATGAAACACAATTTTAAAGAAGCCATCGCCACATTATCTTGATTTAAAGTTGCATAATAATTATAACAATTTTTTTTAATCCTATTCATTTCAATTATTTTGAAAACAATTTATTCAATTAATTGATTCGTTTTCAAAATTATTTTTAAAAAATGGATCAACGGAATTTTTTTTTGCAAGTTAATATTTATATATTCTACAATTTCCTGCATACTCTTAAGTGGATTGATAATTTTAATTGTTGAGAAAATCTAGAAAAGTGGTATTGAGGGCAAACCACGCCAAATTAATTAACAATCCTGAAGGTCGGCTTTATCAAGGAATCAAAACATTTATGAAATGTAAACAATTTTAACGAGCGATTCCGCAACGTCAGCGGCGAAGAAGTTATAAAAGTGCTACTTGTTGGCCGGCGTTTGGCATTGAGGGAGGTTCAATGCACCACTTACATACTTTTCAATTTTTAAAGGCCCCTCGCGACACGAGAATCCTCCGTTCTCCTTTTTCCTACATTAAACCTGAAGAAATCACACGAACGCAGACCTTGGGGTGGTGTTTCATTTCCTCCTGTTTTCACATTTTTTCCTACACTCATTTTTTTTCTCGTCTTTGTCTCACCCACAAGCGACACCGACGCGTCATTATTCGTGTGACACGTACACTGGTTGGCTTTTTTATATGAAGCACTGCCAACAGAAATAACGCCATTATGTAATTCAAGAAGCCGCGAAGGAGATTGAGAATTATGATCGCCTGAGACTTATTCCTCTCTCGAAATTGCGCCTTGGATCTCGTCCAGCTAGCGTGCCGAGGATGCTGGGAATAAAAATAAGTTGCACAAAATATTGCGGCTCATCTTTTTCATAGCTCAAAGGGCGATAAATTTGTAGACAGAACTGCTGCTTACTCAAAAAGAAAGATGATTTTTTTTTCGTGTTTTCTTTTGTTAAAAAAAAGATACAGTTAACTTAAAGGCGAGCAAAAAATTTTAAATCTTGGTTCATTAGTTTATTTACATCCAATTTAACAGGGCAATGTAAATTTCAATTTAATATTATTAAAGCTAAATAAATAAATCTTGATTCTTTTATCAAAATCAAATGAGTGAAGTTCAACATAACACTTTTTATATTAAAATACAACAATAATGAGGGCGATCTTACCGATTAACTCGCCATGCAAATTGAGTGACAGGTTAGCTTATTCTGGGCCAGTTAAGGATTTTGGACTGCCCTCAATAATTCGGAGAGAGAAAAGTAATTTGTTGTAATCACTTGAGATTTTTTTAATCAAAAAGGACTCGAATAATTCAATTTCTTTTTCTAGCATGATTTTTGACCAGAATTTCTAATAAATATCCGTCTGAAGTGGGACATTTTTTTTTAAGTTGTCAACATGGCAACGTGTGAAACCCGCATAATCAGAGTTGGTATTTAGCGGCGCTCGTCTCGTTTCTCCCCATATAAGTGGGCATGTGCGTGGGCGTGCTCGTCTGTCTGTCTCTTTCGAGCCCATTCAATTGCAAGGTCAGCGCAGAAAGGTGCGAGATTCGCCAAAGGGTTAGTCAGTCTAATTAGCGCACGGACGGGCGCAAATGAAGTCGGCAGGAAATTGCAACGATTATTCGTCGTTCGGCTAACGAAGCCCAAGGGCACGTGCAGATTCTCTACAAAGTGCGTTTATTTGTGTAGCACATGTGGCTGCCAAGCCGCGATTGGGATCAAGCAGGGCCAAATAAGGATGAATTATGTAGTCTGTGTGCAAACAAATAGCAGCCAGTCAGCTAGCTCTGCTTAAACAAATCTCGACAAGTTCACTCTTTGATAAGAGACTGCGATTTTAGCTTGGATTTATAAATCTTGAAAGAGCTTTTAAGTGAGCAAATAAAGTTTTAAATCAGTTACGAGAGGAGAATATCAAATGAAATGGTTGAAACAGGCTTTTACTATTTGAAGAAATGTTTTTTTTTTTATCATTATTTGTTTAAGAAAGCGACTTTTTCAAATATTTGCTAATTTTTCTTGCGCATTTTCTCTTTCATTAAATAGGGTTTTATAGAACTGTGAAATTGCTACGGCAGTTTGTGTTTTGAATACAAACAATTCAATTCAACAAAGACAAGCCTGTTTTTCTTTCACTAAAAATTAGTTAATATTTCAAGGATGAGATCAAAAATTTACTTGAAAGGTATTTCCAAAATTTGGAGTGTCATTTAAAAGATAATTCAAATTGTTATTATTTCTAGAAATAGTTAAAATAAAAATATCATTGGAGCGTTGAGCATATGAGTCAACGTCCATTAATAGTAAAACTATTGATAAAGGGTATCAAATTTAAAAAAAACTGCTTGCGTCAAAGGAAGTTTGATATTACTTTGTTGGGACCGGCTATGGAAATTTGTTACAATCAAAAGTAAGTTTGAATCATGCAGTATGAGTCAGTGAAATATACAGTAACAAAACTTACTTTTTAATTATAAACATGTATGAATAATTTAAGACTAAAATGTAAATATTGCCAAAATAAAACTATATAATGAGTTTTTCAATGAGCTTCAGATATCGAAATTAATAAACTTAGTTCTGCAACTAGAAGCTATAGTTAAAAAGAGATTTGAAGATGTAGATTTATATAAAATTCCATTTATAAGATTATTACAGATTATAACTTATTTGCAGTTGTTTATTTGTCTAGAATTGTCAAAATATTTTGCACAATGAAAAATATTAAAACTCCGAGATAAAAATTCCCGGATCGCTTTCATTTGCAGTGTTTAGCATTTAGGTAAAAAAAATTCTTATATCAATCAGCCATATTTTTATTAATCTATTTTTTATATTTGAAGCAGATTTAAATAAATATTTTTTCAGCTTTGTTTTTGCAGTCGTGATTTACTGTTCACAAAAAGCTTCTGGCCGTGATGATGTTTGCATTTCATTTGCATGTTTCTTTGACTGCAGTCTCAAAGAGAAACGACCCTTTGAGCGCCAAAGTCTGCAACTTGCGCGAATGTGACGAGCATGCTTATGCGGCCAATTTGAATTATGCTCGCGTAAGTTTACGATTTGAATGCCATGACAAGCAGCGAAACGTAATGCGCGATTGAAATATGGCCTGATGAGCAGCGTGAGTCATTTATTTCATCCTGCGATTCTTCCCAAAGAAGGCGTCGTTCATCTGCCAATTCAGGAGAAGGAAGATTTTTGCAACTCGCAAAAAGTTTCATTGTGCGCGAGACGACGAGGGGATAGAAGCTGCGAGGGAGGAACGCGAGACAAGAGGTCTGAGTACCCCTAATTGTCCGTCTGGACGTTTTTTTTTTTTCAAAGAGCGTACTTTTTCATTAACCCTCGTCGCCGCTGTAATTATTATTAAGCAAGTGCGCGTCTGTTTCTTTCACTAGCTGTGTGTGAAGTCAGATATCACGCGAGAGGGAGCCGGCGATAAACCACCGCGCTATGGGAAACCACAGTCTTGACGGTTAAACAGACGCCAGAGCTGTTTTAGTTAGGTTTTATTGATGCTAAACCGGCGTCATGTTAAGAAACGACACTACTGTGAATAATTTATTAAAATGTGGTGCAGAAAAAATGTACCATTTCTAGGATTTTTAAATATTTCCTCATCAAAAATGAGATTAAATTAAAAAAAGTTTTTAAAACAAAACATATTTTGATTTAGATTGTAAATTAAAACGTTTGAATAAAAATCCTTTCAAATATATGCATAAACTACATAAATTATTTATCCTCGTATTCCTTAACATTAAAATCTGTTAAAGGAAAATATAAATTCTAAATTTTCTGAAAACATATTGTTTGCTGATATATAAGGTTAAATCACAAACTTGTAAAGGTGGAATTCTAAAATAATTATAAGATTTTCAATTGATTAAAAGCAATTTTCAGTATTTTTTGATAAAAATTAATATTGAACCTTGATTCATTACTTGTTTAGATTAAAAAATTATTTTTTATATTGAACTAAAGTTGCATATTTAAAAAATTATTCAATTTATAAGTTTCATCGTTAATTACAATTTAGTATACAAAGCCGACGGTCAACGCTGAATCAATCCATGCAGATATTCAAATTAAAATAAAACCAAATAAATAATTAGGATTCAGAAAATTTGGATATTCTCTTAAATTATGTATGAGGTATAATTTTTAGAAATAATTTTCTAACAATATTCAATAATTAAAATGGTTTGAAACCTAAAAAATAAAATTTTAAGGTGATTTTAATGTAATAATTATTTATATCTCTCATTTTCTCATCGAAAGTATGACCACCAATTGTAAACGAACAATGCAAAGTTCCCCGGAGCTATAGGCAACCTAAAACAATAATTGTTTACACAAAAGCGACCGGAATAATAAAGTTTCCAGCATTATATTTGTGCCAATGAAGCAAACAAGTCGGTGGAGTGAAACTAATTGCGCGGAATTGAGTGCCATGCTTATTGTTGCGCGGCGTCAAAAATAAGACCGATTGTAAAAGCAGCAGCCTTTTAGTGTGCGGTCTCTGACTGCTTTTGTTTCTCTATCACACTCTCGGAAAAAGCACGCACAGTTTAGTCTGGTGCCGCTTTTAACATTCGAGAGTTGAACTCGTCGGTTTGCGCGGTTGACGCGAGTACATAGTACAGGATGGTGCATTTACAGCAGGCGTGATAATGAGAGGCTTTTATTTCAAATGACTTCAGCAGCACGCGTTCTAAATTAAACGAGAGCTCATTTAAAATGAGCTGATGCTGAAAGAAGCAACAGTAAGATTTTATTCTGGCTTTAAAAAGTTTAATTTTTTTTTTCGAAAATAGAATTAAAATTTTCATGCGTATAAAGATATAAATAATTTACCAACGATGATGATGCTAACCATCATTTTCAAACTTTAATTGAGTGAATCTTCAAATAAAATATTATGGCTAAAATTTTATTACATTTCCTGGTGCAATAAAGTTTTAATTCAACTATTAACAAGACTTTAATTTTTTTTTAAATTGTAATACAAACAAAATTAAAGAAAGCTACATAGATTTTTTTTTTAAACATAATCCTTATAAAGTTATAACGCTGTCAGTTTCACGATTTATATAAAAAGTAAACAATTTAGTAAAATTTAACTTAGCGTACTAATTTTTGTGGTAGAAAATTTTTCTGATTAATTTCGTCTTCAATTGTTAAATACAAGAATGTTTTAAAAGGCAATACTTAAAACTTTTTTAATTTAATAACTTTCCTTCAAACAATTTATTTTTGATGGAATTATTTTACTTTTAAAAGCAGAAGGAAACTAAACAGATGTCCCGTAATATTTTAAGTGTTTTAAAAAGAATGAAATGAGGAGGTGCGTGCATTATTTTGCGAGTGATTCATTTACACGGCGACCCGCACTCTGGTTTTTTCCATTCGCGCGCCCGGTGCATTGTGCATTCTATGCAAATCGACTTCCTTTGCGGCAAAACAAAGAGTGCACGCCACGGATCGTCGGCTGCTCCCACCAAGATAATAATTCAATTCGCAGCGTCTCTTCGCTCCACAGAATATATGCTGCGTTGCTTTTACATCGGCAGAGCTACTCGATTCACCGAACGGAGGAAAACGGCAGCGACGAGAAGAAGGCAATTAATATAGCGGTGACAGAGCGGAAGTGGCGGCAGCGAATTAAAAAATAAAATAAAAAGAGAAGAGCTCACACACGCAGAGAAACGCGAGCGTTTGCGATTAGTCTATTTTTTTACTGTGAGTCTCTCGCGACCCACAATAGCGCACGTCACTTTATTTTTATTGCCACGCTGCTCTTTTTGTAGAGAGAGCACGCGTCGCTTTAATTGTTTGAACTTCTTATTTTAAATGCATTTAATTCACTCCGTCTTTTATTTTGGTCTGCCAAAGTGGATCAAGAACGGAATGGATTAGCGCCTGAGAAGACTCCAGATGGAGACAGTGGGGGAGTTTTTTTTAACAAGAACTGACAGTCAAACGTGTCAAACAACAATGACATCAAAATAATAAGTAGCAAATTTTGTCAAATGGAGGGAAAATTAATAAAAGAAGGTGTGATTTTATTCTCAATCTCATCCCTTTGATGATTTAATGTCGCCAGTAAAACCTCTCAAATTTACGATAAACTCAAAACTACAATGTTAAAAGTAGGCAAAAATGATACAACATTCTATAATTTTGGTTTGCTTATAAAACGAAAACATTTTAAATCTAAAAATCGTCAATTCAAAATAATTTTTTTTTATAATACAAAGAAATTATTATTCATTTATTCATTTAGTTTTTACAATTGAATGTAAACAATGTAATGAAACAATTTTACAAATAAACCAAAATAATACAATAGTAATAACGTAAAGTAATAGTGATGAATTGGAATTTTTCTTAAACACTTAAAATGTAGCTAGTTTTGTAATTTAAAAAAAAAAAGTTAAATCTTTGCCACTCTCTGAGCAAATTCATTCAAGACAGGTTGAATAACAATCATTGCTTGTAAAAAGCAGTTATTCAATCTCACCAGTACCAGCTTAGAATAGTCGCACGCGCTCCGAGTTTTACAAGAAAAAAAAAACAAACAATAAATAAGTACAGCAGCGATATGAATAATAAACCAACGGGTCACCTGTGCACACGTTTTAGTCCATTTGGGCCGGCGGCGCAGACACTCGGCCGGTGAAAGTGAAAACCAGGAAATAGTACCGAGAAAAATAAATCACATTCTTCTTTACCGGATTGAGATGAAATTCGTCTGTGCGAGCACGTGCGCGGAGCAGGTGGATTCCTTTAACCTCGAGTGACAGACAGACTGACAGTTATTTTATCTGCGTGGAGCAATTAAGGCGTAACCTAATATGGCGCGTGATTTGTAATTATTAGAACACGCACGTTCGCTCGAGGGGGGCAAGCACGTCGGAAAAATTAGGATGCTCCTGTTATTATAATCGGCTATTAGATTATTAATGCCACCCAGACTTGGTGTAGAGAAACGACTGCGAGGCTGTTTATGGCTTAATGCTGCTGGACGCGCGTAACACTTTCGGCTTGGATTTTTGTCTCTCGAGACGGTCGTAAAATTTGATTTCTTTGCAAAGCGTGTCAATTTTTTAAAATGGTAAACTAAAAAGCATTTTTACGCATCATTGAATGGATCAATCGGAGAAAAAGCTTCAAAATTTTAGCTGTGTTCAGACGCGACAATGAAGAAAGCTAATTTTTAGAGCAAGGATGTAGTGACAGAGAGCAAATGTTTAAAACTTAAATTAAAATCATATCTTTGTGCTTTATTTTTTTGCTTGTCACTATACTTTTTTCCTTCTTTTCAAGATGAATAATGAAAAAAAAAATCCTTTTTTGCTGAAATAAAAAATAAAGTGAACACCTACAGTGCCATGGTGTCAAAAGCTTCCACAACAATTACAAAAGCCTGGTTGGAAAATCCTTGTTTATAAATTTAAATTAACATGAAAGGTAACACAATTCATGAACACCTTGAAACGGGCTTCCTCATTGCCAATAAGATAAATGAGAGAAAAAGTAAATTAATTACAAATAATAATATTAGATCAACTTTACTGACACTTTTCTAAGTTTTAATTTACCATTTTTATTTTCATTTTCCTTTGCAACAAGGAAGCCCGTCAGTTTCAATTGTTCATGAAAATGATAAGTTCATTACTGCCGTTTAAAATAAAATTTAATTAATCTAAAAGAGATAAAAATTTGCCTAATTATTATTATTATTCAAACTGCAGAAGATTTATCAGTAGAACTTTCCCTACGCTATAAGATTGTTTTCTTGCTTAGAAAGAAATTACCAGAATTTTCAGTGAAAGCTTTCCCATGTTGACGTCCCGCACGTCGCTCGCCTTGAAAGAGGAAAGATGACAATCGGCTGGGAAGATTCCCTCAATTTGAGTGGCACAAAAAGCACTATTAAAAAGCACAAACACACGCCTCCAACTTTCTTTCTTCCTTCCGTTTTTCCTTCTACATAAAATCGCGCTGTGCACGGAAATTTTTCAAGATAAAAATCTTGCGCTTCACCTTTGCGAGTTTGACCTCCATCCGCGAGCGAGTCGCTGACAAAACTGACTGACTGACGGAAGATGATGGTGCAGACCTCGAAAAAGCCCCGCTACATTTCCATACCGCGAAGTGGGCCACGCGTCTCGGCAACACTTGCACTCGGTCGCGCCAGTTCAACAGGCGAATATAATCGAATGTTACAAAACGTTCGGTGTGAGGGAAAAAAACTCTTTTCACAATTGAAAGTCTTCACACATCAGAAAGGAGAAAATTTAAAAACACGAATTTTGCTGTTTCAAAAGATTCTGCTCAAAAGAGAAGGAATAAATTAAAATTTTCTTTACTTGCAGGTTTTTTACTCAATTTTCAAAGAAGAATTTTCTGATTAGCCAATTCTTTATCAGACATTTTCAATTCACCAAAGAAGAAATTATTTTGATTTCGGAAATTATTTTCCTAATTAAAATTTAAAAAATAAAGACTATGCATTTAAAAATTATGAATAATACGTAAATTTTGGCATATTTTAGTTCAATTTCAAACCATCAGTTGCTCATTATAAAAAATTACGGATTCAAATAATACTTGATTTATTATTTCCATTTAGAAGCAGCTTTTGAACGGAATTTTAAGGAAAATGCAGACGTAATAAAATTAAAGCGATATAAAAAGTATTTTAAGTGTAAAAATAAATTACTTATAGCGCCAGTTTCAACTAGTGTTTGTGAGGTAAGACGTCGGATTACACTGCTTCAATAGGTGGAATAAATAAACGTCTAGAAATCCAACCCGATATGTAAATTCCCCAGCAGCAGTAAAACAGGCTCAAAGTCTGCCGTTGAATTTATTTGTATGTATTATGGTCAAGAAGCTGTCAGATTAGGTGAAAACCGAGAGAGCCGCGGTAATCCGCCGTGCCTCTTCAAATAATGTGCGCATTCAGATTATTTTCAATCGGGCGGACGCGAAATAATAACATTGAGCACCGAGTCGGATAATCCCGACTTGAGACATTTTTCCGTTGCTAATTGCTCAAGAGTCGAACGGAAAAAGCGAGCCAATTAGGAAAGAGAATTATTGTTAGAGAGCAGCTGAATTATGAGCCGCCTTTTTTTTGTAATTGCCCTCCATTGTGCGCGGTTTTAATTGGCCCGAGAGGAATTTCTTATTGCAATCAATTGTGTTTAAATTTAGCACTGCCGCATAAAATTAATTTGATTGGAAGAAGTGAATAAAAAATTTAAACTGAAAAGGTTTATTTTTGCTTTTCCACTCACACGTGAGTTATTTATAATTTATGGAAAATAAGTTTGAACGTAAAAGGATATTTGATGAAAAACTAAATATGACAACAAAAAAATAGAAAAGTGTATTGAAAATTCTCACATTGTGATTCAACATACAAATTTTAAAGTCTACTCAAATTTTGGCTCGATTTCACGATTTCCTCACACCTTTTATCGTCCATCCAACAAATAAATTCAGCCCATTCGCCAACAAACACAGCAGAAATTTACATTTTCCGCGTGACTTAATTCAAAACATATTTCCCAGCGCTTGGCGGACGTATCCAAATTTATTATAATCAAGAGATACAATTTGGCGAGTTGGCCGGCGCCCAAAAGCTGCGCCATCATAATCAATGAAAGAAGACCGAGCTGGTTGAATAATTCACAAAACGCTGGGCCGAGCGCCGCATTGCTCGTAAATAAATTGATGAATCTGGTCGGTGCGAGTGACGTGCGATTTGGGGCGCATTGCGAAATTTTGTGTTAATGAATTAATAGACTGATGCCATCAGGGGGTACATCATTTTGCGATTTGACGCTGCAAATCCAACTCACAAAGGATGACTTCTGGTTGACACCGTATAGATTATTCGTCTAATCATTTAGGGAAATTCAAATTATAGATTAAACTACCAAAAAATCTTAAGAAGCAACAACAAGAAAATGCAATGATGGCTTACAGATCAATTTGGGAATTGATGAAGGTGTCAAAATTAATAAATATTTTTTTCCTTGTTGGTATAGTGAAGCTTGGATTTTCTTGAAGAACCTGCAATTTCAAACGTTAAATTGATTTATACTGATTTTTTTTTTTAAATAAAATAATTTTATAATAAATATCCTCAAAATTTAGAAAATTAATGAAACAAACGAAATAATAATCTAAGTTTTAATGATAAAAAAAACTTGTAAAAAATCTCCATTAGTGAAGATATGTTCTTCAAGGCAACATATTTTATCAATTTAAATATATTCATCCTGGCAGTTGGCAAGATTTAATAGTGAATTGAACGGAATGAGGACTTTTTTGCAGATTTAATTTCGCCCGCATGTGTTTTGGCAGGAAATTGCAGGCAGCGCTATGGAGGCATAATATTTGCTGAGCGAGAAAGGGTTTTGCGCGAGCATGTATATTTTCGCTGGGCACGTCTACTCGCTGCCGCAATTGTAGTAAATGGCGGTGCGTTGCATAGTAGTAACCATGGCGACGGCAGATTCGCTGGACCGACGAGCCAACGCGGCGCGCGTGACCGTATTTCGTATGACCTTTACCTGCAGCTGCTTTTTCTGGGAGCGAGCATCGGTTTGCCAAAAATAATGTCACTTTGAAACTCGTTCAGATCACAATGATTATGATGGAAATTTGGGTAAATCTTTTATTTGAAATGTAAATGTTTGTTCTGAATGGAGAGCAATAAAATCTTATTTTTTTTTTGCACGTTAAATAAGCCAAAGATGAGTCACTGAATTGATGACTATTATTGTAACGTTGTTTATTTGTTACCAAAAATTTACACAGAAAAAAATAAATGGTGATAAAAAGGGAAAAATAATTTTTTGGACAAAGCCACCACCACTCGCAACGATTTTACTTCCATAAAAAAGAGCCTGAATTGACTTACAATTAGTTTTCGTTATTTATTTGCATAAATCATTTTACATTTTTTTTTTTAATTTACTTTTTTTATTCATCAAATTGAAATCTTCCATTCAACTTAAAAATGAGCATCCAACAACATGAATACTTAAAAAGAAAAATAAATTGTTCAACAACTTTTTTACATTTATATAATTTGATAACATGCTTAAGCGGTTGTAACTGGAAAAAATCGAATTTAAATACGAATTAAATCAATTAATTAAGAACTCCCCATCTTTTTAACACAATCTCTAGTAAAATTTTGAGATAATAAAGTATATTATATTACTAAAAAGCAGAATATATATTTGTGTCAACAACTTAATTTACAATTCAGTAAAGCTACAATTAATCTGCTTTGGAAGTATTCCATCTTTGACAGTATTAATCACAATAATTTGGGCTTTTAATTTAAAATAATTTTATTTTATTTTCTTAATTAAGAAAATAAAATAAAATAATTGTTTCTTTTGCAAATATTTCATAAATAAAGTTAAGACATCTTTCGTAAGCTTCCAAACGATATATTTTATTTACTTAACATACTCGTTTTTATGGTTTCTGTTTCATGGTTTCAACACAAATCATAGTTTACAAAAGGTTTGCATAACCATTTTAGCTTAAGTATTGTCGCAATTTTTAAAATCTGTGCATTTCCCTTGGTCTAAAAACGAAATCATTCGTCTGTTTAAAGATCCTTTCTAGCAATCTCTAAATTCAGAGGAATAAAAAATCCATCTGAAATCAAGATAATTATCGCTAAGATTGTTGAACTAAGCTGGACGTGCCATCAAAGCCACTCATTAAAAAACTCGGAATGTGTAATTAACGAAAATACTAATCGAGTAGTTTTGAATTACAAAACAATCATCTTGTCAGACTTACGGAGAGGCCGAATTTTGGATTCGGACGGACGCGATAATTTGAAATTATTATTGCTGCTCATCCGGGGCACTTCTTATTGTCGCTCGTGCAGTTCGTCTTTCGTACGGAGGCGCGCGAAAATCGATTTCAAGCCTCATTACTCGCGCCTATTGTTTCGCATGCATAATGACATAATGGAAAGAGAGAGATGCCAATAAAGTAACACGGCAGAGATAATTCAAAACGTTCACAAGTGGGCGTTCCGTTTGACATTCCGTACAATCCTTGGCTCCAGGCCCAGCAGAATTATTATAATAAAATTTCTTTCTTTCTTTTTTAATTCGCCGTCTGAGGAATTTTTAGCACTTTCGAGCAGCTGCGATTGGGCAACGAGCAAATACGTAGTATTTAATTTATGCAACATCTTCCTACTCAAGACGGAGCCAGTTGACGAGACAAAATGCGACAAAAGTGAGGAATTTTCCACCTTCTGCGAAGGGGTTAAAGGACTTTTGAAAAGGATTCGGCTGGGTTTTTGAGTAAAGTTTGCAATGTTGACCAAATAAAAGTGCAAGATTAGTTAATTTTGCGTCGGCCTAGAAAATTCCCAGCACGGCGGGGCACTAGTTGAGCTCAAAAGCGGAGCCCAGAAATTCGGGACTGAAGAAGGCCCGCGGGGGATGTGGGGAAAGGAGCTCGATGGCTGATACTTACATTCGGCCTGGCCGTCATGGAAATGCGCACCACCGGTTGCAGTAATCCGACGCGAAAATCACAAGTCCTCTGCGATCAAAACATACGAACATACTAACGTCACACTCGTATCAAAACTCGGCCGCCATACTGGAACGATTTTATTATTTTTCTGTTTTGCATACGACGTAGCTTCGCGACTGGCGCACCATCTGACGTCACACTTGTAAGTTACAACCTCTTGAATTGTTAGTTCAGCGACTGCAGCGCCACTGCTCCTCGTCTTCAGACCATCCTGCCCTTGGTGGGCTTGGTGTCCCGCGAGTTTGTGCGATTTGAACGACGATTCCGCACTTTTCGGCTCAGATTTCGACTCTCGGCCGGCGGCTGGTCCCTCAAGAGCGCGTCGACGGCCTCTCACAGTCGTAAGTGCACGGCCCGCGGCTGTTAATTGCTTTCAATCTCAACGGCTCACTTGGCACTCCGTGTTATGGATTTTTTCATTGAGCACCAGCAGCACCACCAACACCACTTCACGCTGCAGGGTTGCTTTGGCAACCTATGCGCACTTTCGCGCATAAATTAATTTTGCACGGTTTTATTCTAATTGCTTGTCCTTTTAATCTTTCCACTTGTTAACCGCTGTTTATTTAATAATGCATAAATAATTCATTACCCGTTTTGCATTTTTGCAAGCAGAATTTTAATTTTAACTGGTCTTGATTTTTCACCTTCTTCCTTTTGATGACAATAATTAATTTCATATATTCCAGGAAAATAATGACGGATTCGGAAGATGCAGTTTGGGATGAGCTGAGTGGAATTCCGCCGGATCCGCCTGTCATGAGGGACAAATGCGGTGCCTGCAAGTAGGTCACACCCTTGGCACATCCACCCCGATAATCCGATATGATGGATGTTGGTGTACTGATGAAAATCTCATTGTTATCGTAGGCGGCCACACTCGGTTTGCTGGTGCCCATTCTTGCCACAGACGACCATCCAGACCCGGAGCCGAGTTGTAATTCTGCAGCACCCTGCCGAGGAAAAGAGATGCCTGAGAACCGTGCCTATGCTAGAACTAGCCCTCTCACCGGGCCAATGCAACGTCTACAAGGGAAAGAAGTTTCCCTTATCAAAGTATGAAATAGAATTAACAAGTAACAGTCAATTCTTATCTGCAAAAGACGATTACATTTAATTTTTAATTAATTATTTATTACTTTTTATGAAGATGATTTTTTTTGCAGATAATTTGGTTAATTTTTTTTCTTGTAGCTAACTCGAGTAAATTTCCTTTTTAATTACAAGTTACCTTGTTTTAATTTTAATGATGATTAAAGTTAAATTGTGCTTTGACCTGTCGTTTCAGACACAATGGCCTTGAGGAATTGTTAAGAGCGTCAAACACCCTCGTTTTGTACCCATCAAAAGACTCTGTCCCGATTGAGGACATACCCAAAGTGGATGACAACAGCGAACCGTACAATCTTGTCGTTATTGACGGCACTTGGGCCCAAGCCAAGTCCATGTACCACAACAGCCCTCTTCTCCACAACTGCATTCAAGTAAATTTTTATGGAAAATCAATATTCAGCGCAAACATTGTTTTAAGGCCAGTCTGTTGAGATTAGATTTTGTCTTGTGGCTGCCTTTGTTCTATGAGCCTTGAACTGGTTCATTATTGATTGAAATTTTAATTGAACTACGTAAAAAAAATATATAGAATAATACCAGAATAATTAATTTTTATATTTTACTTATGTGTGACTCAATTTTTATCTGATAATTTTATTAGAATTTTTTTAGTCGCAACTTTTATCGAGTTTTAATTATTCTCATTTTTCCACAGATCAAGCTACCCATGAAGGGAGAAAGTGAGTACATAATCCGGACGCAGCCAAACGAAGGTTGTCTCTCGACCGTTGAGGCAGTGGCCGAAGCTCTAGGCATACTTGAAGGTCGACACAGACTGAGGCACGAGTTGCTCCAGCCCCTGCAGGCGTTGTGCCGCTTCCAAATTTGGCACGGTGCCGTTCCCCACCAGAGTAAGAAAACTCTTTTGGACATTGGTGAGTACAAGAAGCCAATAGGCAAGAGGACGAGGAAGAAGCTCTACAGTTTGGTGGATATTCCCTCTGTGACTGACTGCAAGGGCAAGGAGCCCAGCTGACGAGAACTCCTACTTTACTTTTATCCCTTGTTCATTTTTGTTGTCTTCTTCCTCTTTTTCATGATGTGATTTAATTTCATTAAACAGCCATTCTCGTTAATTTGAACGTTTGTGTTTTTAAGTTGGCACCAGCAAACTGCTGGTATTGATTTTGTAAGTAATTTGTCCCTGCCAGCCGGGTGGCTAGACTAGGGATTAGCACAGCCAGAGCCTGTGGCAAGGATTTGGCTGATAATCCTTAGTTTCACTCGGACTGAAATTTGGATCCTAATTAGAGTTCAATTTTGCCTAATTTTGCAGTTCTCGTCTTTTTACATATTACGGAAACGACACAGATCTTTCGGAGCATTTGATAAATATGGATAGCCGAATGTGATATTTTGAAATTTTATGCAGAACATATCAAAATAAGCCATGATGAATACTAAATGTGAAACACATACGCACGTGTTATACACCGTTTAATAACTCACGTTTGCGAGCCGACGTCGAAATGTTTTAGAGCACCCTTTTGATGTTTTTGCCTGCACTAGTTGCTGCAATGTTGCCTTTGGTAGGATTTATTGAGGACTACTTGCATTCCTGTCACACAAGCAGTATGCAAATAATAGTGTTGACACAGATATTGAACAAGATCCTATTGATCTCTCCGACACAATACGTATAGAGCGCTTAGGGCTTTGGAAAACACTACTGTAAAAAAATTAATGTTAACAAAAAAGTGCCAAAAAAAAAGAGATAGAGTCCTAAACAATTGTTGAACGGAAAAATTTTAATGTATTTCATGAGAGCTGAGATTGTCTTTTGTATCTTGTTGATAAAAGCCTCCGATAATTTATGGATGCAAACAAAAATAAAAAAGAAAAGTTTTTGTGTCTGCCCCTGCAAATTGGCCTCCTGCTTCTCCTTTCCGAAGCAAGGCATGGGCAGGATGTAATTATATCCTTGGGTGGAGCTGTGCCCGACTAGTGTCCTGTGATCAGCGCAGGCTGCAAATCGTGTCACGCGCCACACAAAAGGATAACGCCACTAATTGCGCCGGGCGTCTTGATTTCTATCGGCAGCATCAGCTCTCTCTCGCACAGCTTACTAATTCACTCGCCCACGGCGCACAAGCCCTACGTACTCCCCTGCTCGGCACCTTAGCGCCACTAATTCAGAGATGAATGCACGCTGCATCCCTGAGTAGAACAAAGCGTTCGTTGACTCACTTTTCTCTATTTCCGCAACTCATTCTTACTACACATAATAACATTAACTAATTACGATGATTGAATAATCACTCATCACACCTGAGATGTAATTTAAAAATTATTAATTATATAAGGTCGGATTTGGAGAGAAAAGAAAATGAAATTTATCAACCTAATCTTAAAAGATTATCGATTATCCCCTAGGCCAATTTGATTTCTGCTTTTTTTTATGGAAAATTTTGAATTAATTTTATATGTTTCATTTAACTCACCAATAATGACTGATTACTTAGTTAATTAATAGTTTCAAAGGAATTAAAGAACTTTTCACTCCATCACCTTCACTTGTCAATGGCCTTTCCGATTTCACTCTATAAACCCCACGAGTATAAATCCAAAAACCTAATTCAGTATAGCTAAAGCTGTTGGGCTTCCTCTGCGACGTTGTAAATTAATTTGCTCACAGGCCGGCTGAGCGCCGATTATTGGACTTACTCCCATCTGCTCTGCAAAATGTTGGCCCAACCCTTGCAATATTCGCCAGTGGCTGCTTTGAAAGGAGACTTGCAAAAGCTTTCCAAACAAATTTGTAGCTGTCGAGATGTTGAATACGCATATTATATGTTGATGTGTAAAATAAATAAACAAACAAGATTACTGTATTTGAAAAAGCACACGGCACCAGAATCAAATGATAATTGTAAAAAGCAGCGGAATAAAACTTTGGAGAATCATTACGATGTTCAAATATTTGTTAGATCGGTAGAATATTTGAAAGTCGAAAAGAAATTCTAATAACACGGCGTATTTTAATATTCTGACCTACAAGATGTGGTGAAGTGTACCGATCAAAATTTTAAAAGCACAAAAATTTACGCATTTTTTGGAATTTGAATCTGCTGGACACAGAAAAAATTGTGAAAAAAAATGTTGACCTGTTATCATAAGTAAATAAATTGTAGGTGCGATAGTTTTAACAATGACGTTGTGAAGATTGATGTTAATCATGCATCAATAATTGCACACACGTTGCACTTCCTGCGAAAATACACGGACTCAAAATTACGAGACTTAAAATTGCACTTTGGGCACATGATTTATAGGAAAACGCACATATTTTCCAAAACTTCTGATTGGCGTTATGAAATATGAAATAAATGGCATGATATTAACAATATAAAAGTCTAAAGTTTTACTTCTACTTACCCTATTTCTTCGATTATCTACCAAAAGAGTTTTTCCAAAATACATTCAACCAAATTAGAAATTATCATAAAATAAAAAGTATATGAAAAAATAGAGAACTGATTAAAATGAAACTCTGAAAATTATTGTCATTTTTATGTCAGCACATAAAGTTTTTACTTTCGGTATAAAATTTCAGCAGCGTTCATTTGCAGAAATAAAATAACGACTTTTGCTTTTTCCACACAACGGCTGCGGGTGATGTGCTGCAGAGTGCAGAAAGTCCGTCAGCGGCGGGAGGGAGTGAAATTTATTTCGCCGACCGCGTGTGCGCCGCCTAAATTCTATAAAACATTAAAAAAATCAAGCGCCTCTCTGGGCCATAAAATTGTTTTTTTCCTCAACACAGCAGCAGCTTTTACGAGGTGCTTCATGCCAAAAATTTGCGGCCCTTCAAAACAGCAGAGCAACACTGGAACGAGCCGAGTGCCAATTTTTCGCACCGGACCGGCATTTCCATACAAAAGCCGGATGAGAGAAGCCCTTTATTTATTGCACCTGAAATGGTATGCAAACCCGCTCGTCAGACGTGTCCGGCAATTTGCATAACTGTAGGATTTCACCGGCGAGCGAGCGGGTAAACAAGAAAGGGAGCTTTTTCGAAGGTAAGCCCGGCTAAATATAAAAAGGGCGCCGGGTAATTCGGTTTGAGTTAAGGTTGTATTATTGCTATTGCACCCGGCGGCGTGTGCTTTTTGTGGCAGCCAGTGGCACTAGTAGTCCAGCCGACCCTGTCGACAATCGCATGAAAGAGGCTAAAAAGGATTTATTGGTCCTGTGTGGCTTTTGGCGAGCAGCCCGAATTTGCTCATAATGCGATGATGCGCACAGCGACTCTTCATTCTGCTCGTCTCTGCCTTCCTTTTTTTCTGCTGCTTTTTCTTTCTCGTCTGGCAATGCTAGAACAAATGGGATACGCCGGCTGAATGGCCTCGGCAGAAGGTGGGAGAAAAGTGTTACTTTTCCGTGTGCTCTGAGCAGCTCATAAAATTTATTAAATGAAAAAGGAATTGCTCGGCCGTTGCCAAAAAATAAACTGATCCACCAACGAGAGCAACCTGCAATAAGCCTGCTAGAACAACAAAAGGGGAAAGAAAAGGGGAAATTGAATATTATGGTTGACTTATTGGGTAACTTATTTATTTTTTAGACGATATGGAAAGGTGATGATAAAAAAGAATACAAAAATTTGTACGTAACATATTTTTCTTGTTGTTTATCAAAGTTCAGATATTAAAATATCAATAATCAATTAATTATCATCATAAGCGAATCTTAAAACTTTTTGAACATTTTGACAACGGATCTTTGAGAGTAATGTTGTTCCGATTCAAAATTATGTAAAGAAAGGGCAGGTGTGCGATTATATTGATGTCATTAATGTATTCAACCGCGAAAATCATTTTGCAGCTATTTGCGTGCCATAAAAGGCCCATTTGAATTTTCTCCACGTCTACTGTGGCGGCGGCGGCGGCGGCGAGCGACACATTCTTATCACACACCAGAGCCGAGATAGCGTGCAAGTGTGCAAGTTGGAATCAATTCGCCGACTGCATCCACCAGAGAATACCAACGAGCATGGGCGGATGCAAATCTCGCGATGACACCGCACTGATGAGAAAAGCGGCATTCATTTTTCAGTCTGGCGCAGGATGTTGGTGCTGCGCGAGAATTTGTATATTTAACCATCAAATGGCACGAGTAGCGATGCATGCATGGCATATTTATTCCGCGGCGGAATATGAAGTTCTCAGCTGCATGATTTATAGCCCGAGATAGCGCATGCAGAGCGACTGTCACTGTGTTGTGTTTGCCCAATTGATCATGTGCCTCTTTCCCTCCCGCGCCTCCCTCTCGTTCTGCGCGACGAGCCGCCCTCGTTTCTCAGACCATTTCGCATTTAAGTGGATTCCTAATGGCACACGCACTGTCTTCCGAAGCGAATTCCGTGTATTATATATACGCGTTCAAGAGTTCGCCCTTACTATATAGCAAAAGCTCCCTCATAGAATTTGCGCAGTTGTGCGCTGCCAATTTGCTTCAAAGGTCGCCCGCCCGCCTGCTACATACCTTACTTAATCCTTTGTGCAAATTAACTTCTCATCTTGCCGAATTTGCAAATTGGTGAGATTGCCAAAAGAGAGCTAATGCTGAGTGGATTCCTCTCTTGTTTTAAATGATTCAATTTTCTGAAATTTTAACTTCAAGAATTGTTTCATGTGAGAGGAGGTCAAGAATACTTAGCTTTGATACATTCAAAACAACTATAGGTCCACAAGTATAATTTAAACAAAAATTTACTATACAGAAATTTTTACTGTTTGAATTAGAGATCATTGCATTATAGTAAATTTACAACATTTAAGAGAAGTAATTTATTTATTATCTTATAAATAGTATTGTTATTATAATCAATATTTTACATGTTTCATAAATACTTTGACTTTTATTTAACTAAATTTTTCACTCCTTTCTTTCGTTTCTTAAATAAAGAAAACAGATTTAAACATTTAAAATTTTATTTCAAGTATTCGATAACAAAGGAATCATTATGAAAAATAAATAGCATAATCTTTAAAAAATTAAATATTCCAAAATATACTTTTATTCATCTCATGTACATTATTTGAATTTTGTATGAAGTCGACTGCGAAATTTAACCCTCAATTGATTTAATTGGTGTTATAGATAAATAAATATTTTCATACAAATTTGAGTTTGTTGATAAATTTTCAGTAATTTAATTTTTTCTCTTCAGATATTAGTATTATTCAATAATCTAAGCAATGTGCCGTTTTTACTGAAAAAACATTCTCGTGATCACTAATCTAATCTACTCAACACACATTCCTCGGAGGTAGTTAAATCCCTTTGGAGTGGAAAAATACAAGAAAAACATCGAGAGACAAAAATTCGCTTTTGTGAACAAGTAGTGCTTTGGGCAGCACAGCCGGTTCCTTTGCGCATTCGCTCACCGTCATCTATTATTTTATTCTGGCAGCTTCATTGCCTCATTAATATTTTAACTGGAAATGAGAGCCCTTGGGCAGTTTGCTTTCTGCAAATTTTTCTTCCCTCTTCTGCAAGGCAGCGCGAGAGCACAGCCGGCCTTTGTTTAAAGCAAAAAGGAAACATCAAGCCATTTAGAACGAAAGGGGGGATGGGTTTGTTTTGCAGCGGAGGCTTTTTATTTGCCCTGAATATTCCCTTTGAGGAGGCAGATGCGTTGGGGAGTTGTTAGAATTATACACGACCTAATGCAAACGGGGCAGAGAGAGAAGAGAGGAGCGAGCGCCGGAGCGCGCAGCACAAGGAATAAATTTCCAGCAGTCAGAGAAAGATGTGCTCGCCCCGGCTTATCGGGTGCTTCATGCTCTGTGAAATAAAATTAATGCGGAGATATCGGCGCACAGTTTTCAGTTCTGTACCCAAATTCAACCATCTCGTTTAAAAAAAAAAAATCATGAAAAAAAATTAGATTGGTGAGATTGCATAAGTTAAATTGGAATTTCACGTTCGGATTGAGAGTCTGTTCTAGAGGTCTTTGAAATTGGATATTTACTTTACAACATCCAGACAGGAAAAAAGAAAAACAAAAATCATTGCCAAACGCAAAACCCGAAGTTTTTTTTTTAACATCAAAGCTAGAGGCTTGCTAAATGTTAACCTTGGAACAGTGATCAGCAAGTAAAAGAGATTTTTTTTTAAAAATTACTCCTTCCCAAATTATCTTTTAAAACTTAATTTCAAATTTTTGAATCTATCATAAGGAAGCGCCGATCGATTTTGACTGATAATTATTTTTACGCATCACACATCACATATCACAATTAGTGTTTAGATGTCAGATATCATTAAAAAATCTTAGAAAATTGAATTAGTACATGCCAAAGTCAAGTCCGTACGCTGCAACCCAATCAAGTTAACAAATTAAAATCCTCCTTTTTTGGTAGGATTAAACATCAAAGACAATTAATTATGAAAATTTCAAAGTTGAGGTTTATTGCAATTTTTTTTTTTTATTCATTACAAAATCCATACTAAAAGTTCCACCTCACAATTTACGTTGATCTCATGAGAAGCAAAATGATTGGCAGTTACCTCTTTGCTCACTTTTGATGTACCGCAAGCACCACTGATGAAATTTTAATTTACAAACAAGTCTTCTGGTACATATTCTCGTATATCAATTTTTTTATTTTAATTATTAAATATTAAGGAAAAAGCTATTTTATAACAAGAATACATTTTGAATGTAAGTAATGTTGCGGGTTTATCAGGAACAATAATTAAGAAAATAGCTAAGTAGTTTTCAGTCAACAAACGTACTGTAAAGTTGGACTCCAAATTAACCCAATCAGGCTAAACGACCCTTAATTAAAAACAGGAGGCTCTGATGCAGAGAGCCAGACGGCGAAACACACAGATCACACACGGTTGAGAAAAGGCCCTCGTAAAATACGACCGTTGCGTCTCACTCAAAGGACGGGACAAAGTTTCGGACCATTTCGTTTATTAGGTTGGCCAACTAAAGTAAATCTGCCTGCTCTGCCTTTTGTGCATGAGCAATGTATGTTTGTGAGAAGCGCGAACACACACAGAGGGCAAAATGCAGACGGCCACGGCACTTCAAAAGGCCCTCCTTGCCTCCTCTCCGCTTCTTTGTCTCAAACAGAATAAAGGGCTGCTTCATTCTCAAGCAAAACACACGGTGAGCGAAATGCAAAATGTATATTTACGCGGCGCGAATATACGGAAGGGGGCCATTTGATGGGCCATTTGAGAAGGAAATAAATGCTGACCGAGAGTTTTACTCTCTCAGGAGAAGGAATAAAGAAAGAGTTTATCTTGAAGTCGCCGTTGCAATCTCGCCCTTTTTGCCAATCAAAACATAAACAGCAAGGGAAGTGGCTGCCACTTCTTTTCCCTGGCCGGTCGGCAGCTGCATTCAGTAGAAAATCGTCACGTCGCACAACTCCGTGTGACCCACTTTCCAAGAGAGAAATTTTCACCATGTGTATTATGCTTTTGACAAATAATGCAGTGTGGGAAAATGAGAAAAAGTACACACTTGCAATGCATTTTCCCATATTGAACATTTTTATTCGTATGATGCTGCATTACAGATGCTGATAGAAAATTCAAATAAAATCTTGTGGAAAAAACGCGTCTTTTTTCACATTGAAAAATCGTCAACAAATTCGTTTGAATAATTCAGTGAAGCTGTATATCGAGTAATGAATTATTCCAGAAACCACATTGAGATATTTTTTTTTTATCGGTAGTTTTACAATGGCTCCTATGATTTTTGTTATACACAATATAATAACAATCTTCCATTATTAAAATGGGTGGATTTTCGTAACAGTTATCTTGGGAGATCACGATGAAAACTCATACATAATTCGCCGTTCTGCGTATATTCTAATAAGCTTTTTTAATGCAAATCTGTTGCTAGTTTTAATTACATTTATATCAATAAGAGCTTACGAATTAATCTTATCAGTCTCCTTAATAATGTCAAAGTAGAATTACAAGGTATGCGGAAATAATTGAAAAGTTTACCAAACATTGAATAAGAGAAAAGTAGTTCGTCATGATGTATTTCTTCCAAAAAAATTAAAAAGTAGAAGAGGTTTATTAAATTGAATTTGGCACACAAAAGAGGTCTTAAACTTACAATGAGAGGTAAAAAATTTAAAATAATTCTCAATCCAATCATAAGCTTAACTTCCCAACAATTTATTTACACAGCTCTCTAAAAAAAAACTACCTCTTTGAATCAAAATATAAATATTTTTGCAAACAAAAAACAATTTTTTTCGTATTAAGATCAAGTTGATTACGGTAAAACGCATCATCCATTCGGACTTGCACACTCGCACCCATGCAATTTAATTACATACTTACTGTATTTCACCTCGTGTGTGTGTTAATGCTTATTTATGAGAGAGAGAGTGTAGCAGATGCGCACACATTCGCTGCTCCCACGCGTTAATCCGCGTCTCGACGAAACATGATAATCATTGTTAATTGCTCTCATTTACTCTCGCAGTATTTTTATTTACACAAGACAAATATATCAATTCGACGAGGGGGGCGAACAGGGGACTGGCTGGCTGGCGTCTAGTTTGCGTCTAGCCTAGACATGTCATCTGGCGCTCGCCAACCACACCATGTGATTTGTTCTGCAAACGAGGAGGAACAAGACGACCAAGAGGGGCAAACCGCCCCAGCTGCTCGCACAGGAGGCGCGCATTTCGCCCTCGACCGCATCGGCAGCGCTGTTTGAACGCGAAGACTGCCCTCGGGGTGGCTCTGCTAGACCTGCGAACACCGAAACAAAAACAATATTATTTTAAACTTCAATTTTTTTTTACAAATTTAGTTAAGCAAACAGGATTTTTGGATTTCAAATCATTAAAAATGGAAACTACCATTTACAATAGGGGAAAGGAACAGGATTTTCTATACGGAGTGAATTTGAAATACCTTATAATTCAATTTTGAATCCATCATAATAATAAAAAACATGACAAGAAAAATTGAAGTTTCATTAATCTTGAAAGAGGTTAAATAATTAGAAGATCGCCATATTTTCATTAAAATATATAAAAAATTAAGAAATTCTTACCGTTATTATTTTGAACATCACATAATAGTATAAACAAATATGAGCAAGCATAGGATATGAAGATGCATAATCTGCGCTGTTCTACAAAAACTGTTCATTACCATTCCATTTTTATAGCTGATTTACAAACTGAGAGAAGAATACAAATTTAAAATTTTAACGATAAATTATCTAAAATGTAAATATTGTTCTCTTATTGTTAGGAAAACATATCCAATAATTTCAGACAGAAAATATTTTTAGAATAGCATTTTCGCACTGCTATAACATTGAATAACAAAACACAACCACATAATGGGAGCCGTGAACACAAAAAGGTTTCATTCAAATTAATGCTACTTTATGCTTAATTAGAAAAAAAAGTCCACAAATGCTCGCCGACAAATGCCAGCACAAAGTAGTCGTTTTAATTAAAAAAAGGAGAAAAAAACGAGGACGATAGGACACACGGGTATTATTATTCGTATATTTACAAAGCCCTTTTTCTGCGGTCTGATTGAACGCAACAATGGGTGGAAGTGGAATGTTCTCCGCGGCAAGGCACGTGAATATTTGTGTGTGCAAAAAAAAATGAATGGTACAAAAATAATAAAAAAGCAGCGCAGAAATATGTTATTGTGAGCAATTTGCTTGTGAGGTAGGCGGCCAATGGGAAGCAGGTGGGCTGGCGAACGCAGTGCCCAGCCAGATAACAGAGGGAAAATCACAAACACACTTTTTTTTTTGTAGCGAGAGAGCTGAAATGTAGAAAAAAAACTCACCTCCGACTACAGCGACATGATTGCCTGTCGATTCGGGAGGATTACCGTGGTTTAATTTTATTTCTGAAATCCAAAAAACCCCGTTTTGAATTTACAGTGTGTGTAGAGGGCGAACGTGTCAAGGATGCGGATTTGCGTGAGTGAGTGAATCGTGTATGCTAATCCAGCTGCGTCCGAGTGAGTGAGTGAGTTTGGTCGGCCGCTTGCCGTAAATTTTGAATTGTACAATGCATTATAATATATGTTTATTTGTGCGATTGTTTGCCGAGTTAACTCTCGGTTGTCACTCTCGACAAGATGAGCCACCAACACACGCCACTAATGGAATCGATTAAAATTTTATATTAAAAGTACGTTAAAATTCATTCAGTTAGATTTCACAATGCAGAATGAAATACTGCTCTTTTTTATAAATATTTTCCAATTAACAATTGTATATTAGAGGAAATTTGAGAAGCATCAATTTTTTAATTTTAATATTATAAAAAAAATAATTAGTAATAAATTGCAAGCAACAAATCAGTTATATAATTTAATATATTTGTAATTCCATTAAAAATTTTCTTTTTTTTTAAGTTTTATTATAAGCAGTCGAGTTTTAATAAAAACCCTTTCAGGCTATTCTTTTCAACGCAATGAGAATTCAACAATTATCATGTCAACAATTTATCAGTGAAAAAATATATATATTCAAATTTCAAGCTTTCAACGACCTCAATATAAAGAAATTTTTATTTTTATTTAACATACATTTTTGTTTAGGAAAAAAAATTTATGAGAATGCTGACTTTCAATGCTGATCGATTTTTTTTCTTATGATTAGCAATCCTATCATGTCATTCATTTGAGGATAAATTTACAGAATTTAAAAAATAAATAGCTTGATAGCTTGAACCAGCTTGTACATACATTATATTATTATCAAAACAGATATTATTATAATTATGCTAATACAAATATTAAACAATTTACCAGGAAATTACACTGAAAATCAAACATGCTGCTTGCTAAATTGAGAGCTGTAGGGTTAGAAAGTAAAAAATGAACAATTAACTTTCTCGAGAATCAGACAATTTGCATACATATTGATTGTAAATTCAGTATACGCGAAAAGTTATAATGTTTCATCTAAAAACGTTTCCTCATTTCCATGCTGAAAAAAAATCATCATTTTTCGTAGTGAAGATTAGAGAATCACGCAAATTGATTACAAAAGTGTGCGTTCCGCTCAGAAAACAATGAATTGGTAATTCGGCTGGGGGCGCAAGTCCGTGGCTCTCAGTGCGGGTGGCGTGTGTGTGTGTATCTTACTTCTAGCTGTATTATTTCTTACATATAATATAGAAATGTTTTATGCATGATGCGCGACGCCGCGACCTACTATGTGTATGTATGTGTTTGCTAGTCTTATCAGACCGAAGCTGTCTCCGTCGAGAAAAAGAGGAAAGAGCCGGTTTGATGGATTATTTTATGCAAAGCCCGCTGCTGGGAAAATGGATAAGTCGCGCGACATGGGAAACATACGGATTCGATCACCGCGAATGCTGCCGCGAGCAGCATTCACTTTGTAAACTTGAGAAATGCAGAAAATTATTCTCCTCGTCAGTGCACGCGAGTCTGTCTGTTGCTGCTTCTCTGCGACTTTTTACTCCTTCAATTTATTTTGAGCGAGTTTGAAGAAATGCGCTATGTACTCTTCATTTTTAAATGTGAAGTCATTGAAAAAGTCCTTGTCAAGAATCCGACGTATGTCTACACTAATTAATTTCTCATTTATTTTGATTGCAAGTAATAACGCAGTTAACATAATAAATTTATTATCAAGGGATGTCTATTATTAATATATAATTAATCAATGTTACCGTATTTAGAACCAATTTTTCGTTAGAAACAGATAGTATTTTTCCTTGTCATTTCCATTGTCAATCAAATTTATTTTTAATATATGCTTGGGTAACCAACAATTTTTAAGATTTTGTTACCAGTGTAAGTTCTTCTAGTTGTTCCAATTTTTGTTAAATAATAAAAAAGTGATTTATAATTTTTTTAATAATTTTTTGTTAAATAATTAATATATTTATATGAAAATAGATAAAAAAAATTGCAAGTATGACTTTTAATATAATATGTATTTTTAGTTAAATATTATTTGCTCCAGGTTTTTGAGTAAAATAATTACTCATCGTTCGGTTCCTGCAAAATTTTGAAGAAACACAATGTGGTGCTTTATAGAAATAGAGTCCAGATTGGGAAGAGCATTCTCATGCAAAAGTGCAAAAGTCCATAAACAGACTAACACCGAGAGAGACAGTAGTGCGCTCATAAAAAAGTGTCAAGCTGCTTTTTCAGCAGCTGTTTTCCTCCTTCAACCTGCGGAAGCGTGCACAAGTCGAAGGGAGGGATAAATGATAATAATAATAACGATTGTCTCTGGAGGGCAGGCAAAACTCACCGTAGAGTCTCAAAGTCCCCTCAGCTCTTCCTAATGAGTTGGTCGAGACGCAGTTGTAGGTTCCAATGTCGCTGTGGCTGAATTTGCGGATCACCAGAGACATGTACACTTTGTAAGTGGCTTTGCTCTCCGTGATCACGTACTTAGGCCTGAAACAGCAGTTGAGCGCGAACAATGAATATTTATGTGGCGTGCCGAAATTAATCTGTTACTATATGGGCGGAGGAAGATTGTGGAGGCTTAATTGAATTTCAATCTCAGCAGGTAAAATTTCCAGGCCATACTATTGAGTTTGAGATATATTAATGGTAATTTGAGTGCCAAATGAGAGGAGTGAATTCAAAATTGTATTTCATGAATCATGAAATATAAGCTATTTTTTGCGGGGCTAAAATAAATGGGATTATTTAAGTTTCAATTCTAATATGATTAATTGGAATTTGACAATTTTGACATTTTGAGAATTTTATTCGCCATGGCAATTCAAATGTTACTTTCTTTCAAGAAAGTAATAAATAGATAATATGGCATGTTAATATTTATTTTATTTAATACGATAAAACAAAACTAGACAAATATTGTCACGGAGTGTAAACAATTTCTTTTGGTTATGAAAATCTGTTTTTTTTTAACGTCGTTTTAAATACATTTAAAAAAAATTAAACAGTTCAAATAATAAAATAATACAATAAAAGGGAAATATATATTAAAAATACACATAACATTATATAAAATTAAATAAATTTTATTTAATGTTATTTAAATTAATAAATTATAAAAATAAACTAGAAGTAATAGTAAAGATTATTGTTGTTTACTATGTTACTTTTGAAAACTGACAATTAAATTAAATTTTGAAGTCATTTTGTGTTTTTAAACTGGCGTCAAGTTTAATTAAAGAAAAATCTGGCAGAAATACATTTCATTTTGTTAATTTGAATTCATGGTTAACAATTTAGAAATAAAAAATCAGCAGAGAGGTTCCTCGTATTTTGTCGATTTCAAAATCTTTTCAGCTGCCATTGGCCCTGAAATCTGTGGACTTCGCGGGAGGGGAACCTTCGAATTCGATCAGCACCCGAACCCAATAAAAACAAATTCGCGAGAGGCGGCGGCAAAATAAACCCGTTTTTGTCGCTTGAGGTGCAAGCGAGCGAGCAAGAGAGGGCGAGGGGTTGCCTACGCGACACGCAACTTGTCTCCAATAATTCTCGGATCACGTAGCACGAAAGGAGCCGGAACCGGCTGCAATAAAGAGAGCGACGGGCGCGCGCGTCTCACTCGCCCTTAAACGCGCCGCCGTTCTTTATTTATGGGTGGGTAGCCCAGCCGCAGCAATGCTGCTTTGAGGTGATACCAAAAGACCCAACAATATAAGATGCTGCCAACGAATATTTCGCTCTCAAACAGGGGACCGTGGATCATCCCTCTCGCAATCTGTGCCCACCCGCAGCTCCTCTCCGCCGACGCAAAAAGCACAAGTGTGCTTATGCAACCCGCGCGACCCGCGTGCACTGCAAAAAGCGGCTGCACTCGAGATTCAGGCGCTGCTTTCCCCTGCACACGCACTGCATGACAACGCCAATGCTCCCCTTTCAGCACTTTTTGCGCGGGCGACTGCTGCTTTTTATTGCACAGTTACTTGTGTCGCCATTTTATATGCAGTGAGAAAATGAATGTACTAAGTAGGTGCAAAAAAACTGAGCCAAAGTACGCTTTTAGATTTTTAAAATGTGCACTCTTTTGATATCAAAGTTTTGTATTAAACCATTTTGTCTTATTAAATTCATATATTTTTGTGCAAACAAATAATCATTGTGAATAAACTTTTTTTTAGTAAAAAAAAATAATTAATTTTCCATTATGAAAATTTACCATGTTGACTTTTTTCTAATTACTCTAAATTTACCAGAAATTGCAATTGAATTTAATATAGTTTTTCTGAGCAGTGTGATTGCACCTGCAAGATATTAAATAAAATATATTTTTTAATGAAAAAAAAACTTTTGTATTTTGTATCAATACTTTGCTTATTAAATTAGTAAAAACCATTAGTCCTTTAATTACATAAAAATAAATGAGATTACGTACCTAATTTTTGAATTTATTATAAAAACAAAGAGAAATAAGCTAGATCGCAAGCATTGATATTAATATTGCAAGAATAGCTAATGAGCACTTTATATGCTGCCGTATGTCTGATTAACTGTGATTAATTAATATTGTTATCGTTTACTTATTAGTAAAAAATAAATCAATCTGATAATTTTTGCGTAATATTTTCAAACGAAAACGTCCCCATTTTACAACTGACCTTTGTGCCACGTGTTCTGAAATGCCCTTCACAGACGATTTCACCCGAGTTTCTTCCATTACACAAAAGAGTATTTATCTCAGCAGCACCGCACCTTTTCATTACACGTTTCTGTCTGTTGTCTCCCAATCTATTTCAAGCATTCCCGGGTAGGCGTTCGTTTACACCGAACAAAAAACACACCTCCAGCCAGCCAGATTAAGGCGAAAACAACAAGAGCGGGCGACGGCAGGAGAATTTTATTAGAAACATTCCAGACCGTCGTTTCCCAAGCTGATGGATGCCGGTCCATGATGAATGGGTGTAATTAAGGGAGAAGAAAACCGACGGCGGTGACAAGAGAATTATTATTGCAGCAACCCCTGCAGATTGAATAAAGCAGCAATAATAATAATAACAGCGGCTCCCCCGCCACCAACATGTATAGGTGGAGGTAATTATTATGCGATGTAGGTCATTAATTAAGTCGGAGAGAGAAAGCGAAAGCACGGCAAAAAGCGTGCCGCAATCTTTCTCGAGTTGGCCCGAAATTGCTCTCACGCGTGCATGCGGTGTCATTAAGCAGCCTTTTTGCCACGGCAAATATTTTAATCTACCTCATTTATTATTTCCCACGAGGGACGGCAAAAGAAGAACTCGCCTCCTGAGAGGCTGGAAAGTTTTTGCCAAATGCGAAATTCATCGCGGAATTACAGAAAATTGCTGCGGCGGCCAAGGTACTAAAACATTAAGCCCGTTTTAATTGCACTCGGCGGGAAATTGAGCCTCGATCTCTTTTACAGGTCTACTTTCAGTAATTCGCCACTCCACCAGGTGTTATTGGCCGAAGCCCTTTGACGGTTTTTGCCAAACAGAAAAGCTAATTTCAAACGAACGCGTGTTTGTTGTTGCGACGGCTTAACCGGCAAACAATGCCTTTTGTTTTGGGCTCGCTGTGGAAAAAAGGCGCCCGGAGCACCGCCGGCTTCCGCGAGTTGTATTTTATTCGCGCATGAAAGAGCAAAAATTTCGCCTAATTTGTGTGTTTTCCTTTTTTGCGGCGTGAATTTACATTTTTCCTCTCTGCTGAAAAGTCTAATGAATTCTGTGTGAACACAAAAAAAGGGGATGAAAAATACAAATTTGCAAACAGAAAAAACGTGTGCAAATTTTTTGAGGTTCGATAGACGGTGTAAAGGGCTTTGCTTACCCGTTCAGCAGCATTTCGCCTCTGTTCTTGATCCAGTAGTTGATAGTGTTGGGAAAGGCCTCCACGTAACACTCGAGCTGCACGTCAGTGCCAAGTGGTGCACCCAGCAGCTGATTCGGCACTTTTACGACGGGCGAGACTGAAAACAGAGGCAGTGAAATTGATAAAAATCTGTAATAAATAAAAGTTCGTGACTTCAATGTGCTGTAGAAGAAAAAAAGCAAAGGTGTGAATTTGCTATAATAAAATTAGGAGTAAAAATTATGTTGAATTTGCATGTATTTTATCAAATGTAGGCACAGCATTTACATGAAAAAATACTCCTTTGCTTTCAAGCAAAATTTGTTTGTAGAAATTTTTTTATTTGTTTGAAAAATAAAAACGTTTTTGTGGTGTAAATACTTATTACAATACTGCATTTTCAGACGGCTATGTGTTTTTTTTTTCATTAAAAAAAAAAAGAAACTAATTGCTTGTTATTGGAATTAATTTCAAGCAAAAACAATCATAAAAATGCATACAAAATCTTATACAATTTTTAATATATGAGAATTATCAATATATTTTCAGACTTTTAAAGATAAAGTTTCAAATTTACTAAATTATCGAAAAAATATTTCAAAGTTTTTATTCAAAACTCAAAGATCCTTTTTCTAAATGAATTATAAAAAATTTACAATTCTATATTTTATTTCTCGGCGTTTATATTTGTTAAAATTTATTTTTAGATAGCGTTAAACAAATTGAAACTTTATCTTCAACCCCATAACAGCAAAATTAGATCCAGTCACGTAAGAACATATATTATCATCATTCGACTTAACAGCAATGCCACTTGTTTGACTTTCAAATGCGGGGAGGCGAACACACCAACTAAACTGACGCCTTTGATACAAAATTCTCGCGTGTCTCGGTTTAACGAAGCGAGAGCCAAGCTCACTAAAATTCCTCGCCAAAACAAAAGGACTTGACAAGCGCAGTTCTTGAGAGAGCAGTCGACTCTCATTTTAATTATATCAATTGCAAGCGGCGACATTAATTTGCAAGAATTAATTAATTAGGTCTCTGCATGCCTGTACATTTGAGCTTGAGAATTGCGAGGTCTCTCGCGCCCTCGCTCTCCGGCCGTTGTGGACGCTCATTATTTACCACGTGCCGTATGTACCTGCGGGCTGTGAGCTCGCTCTAATTAAATGTGGCCACAGTGCACCTCATCCTGTGTGCACGGCGCCATACTCGGTAATACCATTGACTCGGCCATTGTTCCCGAAGCAGCGGCCTTTATCAGCAGCTCTGATTGAAACAGTCCATTTGAGCTCTCTCCCATTTTTTCCCATTCTCCTTCGAAGCGCGCAGTGGCCCTTTGGCAGCTTAATATTCATGACGGTTGCCGTCGCCGCGCCGAGCAGCCAAATGGGCCCTAATTATGCATTCACTTCATAATTACGTGCGCCCGCTCTTATTTCGCAGCTGCCACTTGAAACCGGCGGTTTTAAAAATTAATGCTGTATGACGAGACTTGTAACAGAATGTTTATACAGTTATTCATAATTGTACATGCCCTCAGCAGGATTTAAATTAAGTGGGTAGGATGGTCCTTGACGCTCCCAAACGGACGATAAGCAATCGAGTGCAAACAAAAATATGGCGACTTGTATTTTTTTTTTAATATCAAACAAGAACTAATTAGCTTTGGAAAAAAATTTAGTTTCTACGAATTTATCTTTTAGTAATTGAGGAAATTAGTGAGGGTACGAAAATATTTAAAAACCTATTTCTCTCTGGCTTAAACTATGTCGGTTGTAAGTTGTAATATAAATCACCATTAGATAGTGATCTTAAAGGCCCAGGCAAACAACCCTTTATGTAGTTTGATTGGCATATTAGGTTTTTGGATCTCTATTAATGATGTTTAAAACAGAAATGTTTAAATTTTTAGGTAAATAATTATAATATTTTGGTGGCTTTTTTAAAAAAATATTTTCACTCAAATTTATATTACATAATTATCTATATTTACTTAGTATGATGTGAAAATGAAGATATCTTAAAGTTGTCACTCTTTATAATTATAAAGTTTTAAATTACGATTCAGCGCTAGGAACTTGCAATTGAATAAGAACAGCTCAGTAAATAGGACGTTAATATCTTTAAAAGAATTAAAAAACGTTTGCACATAAAAACTAAGGAAGATAAAAAGTCTTTATTTAAAAAGTTTTGCTAGTCAGCTAGGAAAAGTAGTAAATGAGAGATTACATCTTATGGAGAGTGAATTTTATTCCCTTTTTTCTTATGAACTGGGAAAAGGCCAGCAAAAGATGCTGGGCGCGAGTCTCCGCCTCTTTTTTTCCTCGATAAACAAGCGTAGGCGACGAATTGGGCCACGAAGCAGCACGAGCCAAATGGGGCCCATACATTTTATCCTGCCCGGCATCTATTTATCAGAGCAAAGTAGCTGGGAATGAGCCGCAAATAAAGCAGCCAAATCCGTTTGATATGAAAAGGGAGCGAGCGCCGCCGCGAAACACGCACTATACACTTTATGATGTATATCCCCGGCATCTTTTTTTTACTCCCTCGTCCGAGCGCTTTTTCCAAGATCCACGCGTGATAAGGGATGAAAAAGCGAGCGGCTCACAAAAGAACAAAGCCGGGACGCAATTTATAAGCTGGACGAGCGGTAAGAAGAATAATGAGCAAAACTTCATATATTGCGCCGGCCGATCAGATCTTGGCCAAATATTTACCGAGAGCAAACACTTTTGTCCTCCTCCGCTCTATAGCCGCAAAGTGATACGTTGTAAATTTTGCGAGACGCGCCAGAGGGAGACACAAATTGAATTCGCCGCCAACTTTGCTCAGCTCTGATGGCTTCACTTTCTACGCAGATATCACTTTTGAGTGGCGCTGGCAAGGCTTTTGCTATTTTAGGTTCCGGAAAATGTAAAAAAGCTTATTTATTTGCCGAAACTTTGCAACAAACATTAAAAAAGCACTCAAAATTGTGACGTTGAAGCCTAAAATTTGTGGAATCAAATCTAATGGATTCTAGGAAATTCCTGCCAAATAATTATTAATATTTTCAATTTCCCTTTTTAGAATAAATATGACTTAATTCTAATAATTTTAAGAATAATGCATAAAAAATACTGTAGCACAATTTTTAAATATTGAATAACCTTAAATATTCAGTAAATTTGGTCATAAAATATTAATTATTATATATGGTACATTAAATTCTGAAATTCACAGGTCTGGTCTGAAGTAACGAGTTTTAAATTATTCAAGTTACAATTGGCCTCGTTTTTCGTTGTAGCTTTCTTCTTCCTCTTCTTTTTCCATCTGCATACAAATTGTCCGTGCGCGTTTAATTACATCGAGGTGGCGGCAATAATGGCGAAACTCTTCTCGGTCGCGGCACGGCACCGTGTGTACTCTCTTTATCTTTTATTATTCAGGCGCAGCCCAGGTAAAAAGCAGGTAGCATTCAGAGCAATTTACGGCGAATTGTGATGCAGAATCCCATTAGAGCAGAAGCAATTTCACGGCATTCGAAACGTGAGCGCGCACAAGCGCAGCTCTTGGAAAATAGGTAGAAAAAGAAAAAGATATTGTACTCGTTGGCAAACGAGGTGAAAAAACATTTAAACGAACAATATATTTTAGGTTTTCAAAATTATTTACAAATTGAACATTTAACACTAACAGCATTCATTGTTCAAATATAAATTTTTTCAAATAATATATTTTGTATTTATGGTTTATTAACAGTAAATTTTTAACTATCTGCCATATGATCTCTTAAATTTATTAAATAAATATTAAATCATATACATTACTGTAGATTATTGTGTCAATTTTAACTGTAAATTTCGGGAAAATTAATATATGAGATTCATGAATTCTTCATTTAAACAGGATTAAATTTGATATCAGCTAAAGAAATTATTATCAAAACATTAGTGACGACATTAATTTAGGCCTTGAACAATAAAAAAAAAAATAGCAAAAAATTATATATATTTAAAGTAATACTCACAGTTGACGTTGAGGATGATTCGTTTGCTAACGGCAGGGGGCACATCGTTGGAGGCGATACAGAGAAAAGCTCCCATCTGCCTGCGATCCAGTCGCCAGAAGTGCATCAGGCTTCCGTTATACGTGTCCACTGGAACAACAAATGACCCCGGCGTGATATCAATTCCGTATTATTTCCTCTATCTGGCGGTCCGACCGCGAGAGATCCCAGATATGGAGAGGCACCCGAAGTGAATTTTCCGCCTCAGGGACGAGAAGAATAAGGAGCGAGCCAGCGGCGCGGAAAAGATTTATTTGAAATTCTAATTCCTGGCCCCATTTTTGTACCCATATCCACTGGGTGGCGCGAGGAAATTTTTATCCAATTTATACCCGCGGGCGGCCACGCGCTGGAATAATATATAAAAAAAGCAAATTCCATTTGTCTTATTGGATCGGGCGCGGCGCCTCTTAACTTTCGAGATTTTAACCTGTCTGCTGTGGATTCAATAAAGCATCCATTATTCAACGCGGTTCGGAGGCGAAATCTGCGGCTTGAGGAAGAGAGAACACTCGCTTCTGAGATATTGCGTCTGGCCCGCCGTTCACTTACTTAATGCGCACTTTCCGCGCCACGGATATTAAAACGAAGGCGGCGACCTTGTTCATCTCCGATGAAAGGTTTTTGTATTCAAAAAAATATAAAATGAAAAAAAAACTATACATATGAATTAAGAAAGGGTTCTGAATTTTGTCAAATGCGTAAAATTATTATTCTATTGAAAATTCGTGTGCCAAACAGCAATTTACGCCCAAACATTGACATTGACTGCAGAAATTATTACAAAATTGTTTTAAACAAAAATCCTGAGAGGTAGAAACGATTATATTTAAGATTTTAAAGGAAAAGCTTCTGCAAAATTCTTATTTACAAAAATAACAAACCCTAAAAAATGCTTCTTTGTCTCTTAAAATTTCTTTAGTTTTGCCATTGTTGAATCGATGCGAAGTATAACTATTATTACAATGATACATGACTAATAAATCTCTCGAATATTCAATTTTTTTATAAAGATTTACCGTAGAATTTCTTGGAAAAACATTCAAAGTCAATTAGTCAATATTTTTGTTGATACTGACCACGCTTATTTTAAATTAGAGTTGAAAGGTTGTTTAGCAATTATTATTAAAAAGGGCCATTTTCCCAAATAAAATTTTATTAGCAGTCCCACGCTTTGAAAGCGTATTTACTTGTGCGAGAGAATATGAGAAAAATCCCGGTTCGCATGAATACAGAGAGCGCCATAAAAATACGTTTAATTAGCAAACATTTAATCAACGCGCGGAGGGCGAAGAGGGCTGTTCATTCCCTCCACGGCTGGTCCAGATGCTCCGCTCGTAAAAGAGAACTGCTTTTAATTTCACACATTATGCAAGTGCATGGCGGCGAAAGGGCGGTGTGTTTGTTGCACCCGAGAGCAAGAGAGGTGCACAAAATGCAAATCGCCGGGAGGTTTATCCAGCGGAAAAATCCGCGCTCACCGCCATGCATACCAAATTGCGCTTTGCTGCTTCTCCTCCTCCACTGCATCGCTTTACTTTTTTTTTCCACTTATGAATAATAATTTAGGCATTAGAGCTCTGCAAGGAGTACAATAATTGCATTTTATTTAGCTATATAGAGTGTAATTTTATCACTCTCGGGTGTCGTCTTTCTGCAATATTAGCCACTTTGTTAGGGGCGCAATCTGCGAGCGTCCTTTCTCTCTCATTTTCACCACCGGGGATGCTCCAGCTCGATCCAGCCCCGCCGATATTGCTTTTCCGCACCGTTGCTCCTTTAATTAAATAATTGATCAGGTTTCCGATTATTACTTGTCGGGCTTCGCCGCTCTCGGCCTGTCGACGGCTTTTGATTTTCCCATCACGACGTAGGCGGACAAAAACGGTGAAATGTCAAAGCTCCGTTCGTTTGAATAAAAATTTGTTTTACCCCTACATAAAAAAATACGTTGAAGAGAAAAGTCCTGGATAAAAATAAGAGGAGGTGAATTTTTATACTGAAAAAAGCTCACATTTCATGTAAAAAAGGAAACAAGTAAAAGAGCTTATTACAAATTGTGTTCACATTTTAACTTCAAGGTCATCTTTGATCCGATTTCATTTTTTTTTTGGCCAAAAATATATTTTCTTTTTCATATTTTAAGAAGCACCTCTATATTTTTACCTTTTGTTATTTCTCTATGGCCTTTCCTAATTAGGATTGGATCTCCATCTTCCCTTCTCCAGGTGATCCTAGGCGGTGGATGTCCAGTGGCTCTACACACGAGAGTGGCATTCTCTCCTTCCTGCACTGCCTGGTCCACACTCGTTTCGTCGTAGAGAATATCAGGCGGAACTGAAACAGAGTGGCAAAATATAAAATAAAATTGCGATTTAAAAAAAAAGAAAAAAAAAATGTAGATTAAGATATTGTTAAGCTCAAATCTTTCCTTTAAATTGATGTTTTGACAAAACAACAGTTACAATATTATAACTATTTAAAGCTTAAAATAAAAAATAACATCTATTAGGCAATCTATTACACTGATTTAAATTTGTTTTGATGTTGATCAGAACTGGATTAAAAATATACATAATTATGTATTTTTTAATGCATATTTGAAAAACATTTAAATTTTAAATTGTAATTTTGTACACTAATTAAATTTTAAATTAATTTACAACTTGTTCTAATACTACAGTTTTAATAAGACAATTCTAAACTTTAAAAAAAAATGAACTTCTTTTTGACACATTAAAAATTTAACCATGCTATTCGGTAGCGAAATTAAAGAAATTTTCCTAATACGACTGGAGGAGTAAGTAATACTAATCACTAATTAGTCTCCACCCAAAAACTTTTAATTACACACCCTTCAGCAAAAATTAAGAGGAGCAAACGCCGGCTTCCCAAAGAGAAACATACCGTCGCTGAAATTAGCAAGCGGTGGCGCGGCGTTGCATAATTAAATGTAATACCGTCGTGAGAGACACTTTATTAATCTCAGCATAATTAAACGCGTCAGAATTAATTTGCCCTGGGCTCTGTTTTGCAGCGGCTCGTTTCAGAGCAGAAAAAGCAGAGCTCGCAGGTATGTAATTATGACAAACGACGTGCGACGCCGGGCAATTATTATTATCAACGAGTGCACGTGGCGCCCATTAAAAGTGAGTTGCATAAAAGATGGACCGGAGAGGAGCAGAGGGTGGGTTGGTGCCCGCGATGCGACCCAAGGGCGCCCCTCGTCGCACACAGAGAAACACGCCCGGCGTTTACGACCTTTCCGTTTGTGTTTATTTTACTTTGCTCTCGCGCAGCAGCTCGGGGGCCATGCAACAAAAAGTAATTATCATAACATGGCCGAGTTCGGCCATTGGCGCAATCTTCAACCATGTACAATTATTGCGATGTGGCCGCCGCCGCCGGCAAATGGGTTGCTGCTTTAAAGGGGTGTAAACTATGAAACGCAATTAACGGCCAAGTATAGTGTGTGTGTACACATATGCCTCCGGCCCAAGGCAAAACATGATCACTCTCGGCTTATTTTCAGTTTGGGTCTGTGTACAATGCAGACTGACCCTTTCAATACTTTTTGTGATATTATATAATTAGTACCACTCGGCAGCTGAAGAAGAGGATTTAACAACATTAATTGATAGTTTGATAATTCTTGCTGCGCCGTTATTACAAAAGATTTCAAATTTTTCAAAAAAAGTCTCCCATAACTTGAACATATTGTGCAAATTTTCTATTTCTCGGTTGTTTGATTATTAATTAAGTATTCATTGAGATACGGGATACTTTTATATTTGACAATTAATTTTCTTCATTCATCGGGAAGAAATTTTATTGAAATATATCGGCAAGGCAGAAATCATTTAAAAGTTCACGAGGTAATGGTTAAAAATTTAACGAAAAGAATTATCAAATTTTCAATACATATCTAAGAAAATGAACCGTATTTTTTAAAAACTGAGAAAACAGCAAAATTGTTGCTCGTACCACATTTATATCTAGAAAAAATGCTTTAAAAATAAATGAAATGGCAGCCTGAACACTCAAATTTAAGGCACAATTGCTCAGTAATATTGCAAAATTGAAGATCCCAGTATTTTTTTAAAAACTGAGAAAATAACTTCGCTCTAGTAAATTGAAGATCACTATGTACAAGCTATAGATGGCTATAAATAATTTATATAATTTAAACAAATCTCTTAAATCTAGTTTTTGTTAATGGGACTGGTTTAATGAGTACATTTTCATCAATTTTAAATTACCATGATTCATGATTTATTTATATTTGTAAAATTATTTAAATAATCAAATAAGTATGATGAAAATTTTATAACATTTAAAAAATATGAATAATTAAAAAATTAAATATAGGAAAATTTTTCTAGCTATTATCATTATTTTATATAAAGTAAATGTTGTCTTATTTATTTTTTTAAATATTTAATTCAGCTGTACACCATTATTATATTATTGATTAATTTTGAAGCGGAAATCATAAACTATTTTTAAATAGATTTCATCAAAATTAATTGGAGTTTTTTGCTGCATAATTACAAACATATTAAAATAATTCAGTTCAAAAGTTCAAACTTAATATTTTAAGAACAATTTGTTCGTCATAAATTCAAATAATTTTCAAAGCCCGTTTTAATTAATTCAATTCAAGATTCCTTTTGTGTTGTGACTAGTTTTACGCAAACATTTAAAAAATCCTATTGTAATTATGATAAAGTGCAGCACGTTAGCTGGAAGGGTGTTGAGGCAACAGCCAAAAAATATGAAATCTGATCCTCAATAAAACGTCTGGCTGCCTTTCAAAGCGCCGTCCCATGTACCATAACAAGTGAACGCGTACCGAATGTGTATATTCGTACTTACACTGTATGCACAGTAAACACAACACCCAATTCGCGTCTCGTCGTAAATTTGTTTATACGCAATTTCTCGGGCTGGCGCGCGAAAGCTGACTCGTCGTAATCTGGCAGGCGGATTTTCTTTTGGCAAACGCTGCTTTTCCATTATATTTGATTCTGAAAATCGAGTGTGCTGCGTTTTGCTGCCGCGGCACAGAAACAAACCAACCAACACAAAACACACGCACGCCCGCGAGAGCAGAGACAATTTGGGAAACAGAGCATGAAAAAAAATAACGCGCTCTCGGGCAGCGGCGGAATAAAGAAAAATAGTTTATATTGACAGAAGTGACATAAAAACAGAACCCCTTCTCAAAAGAGTGCTTCGCTCCTGCAGCTTCTTTTCCCAAAAGAATGCGCGCCACGCGCTCCTTCTTCCCTCGACGACGACTCGTTTCGGTTTTCCCACTTTTTTCAACTCTATATGTGCGCATGATGGTTTATCATTGCGTTTTCCGTTTTTACTCACGGTGCCAGAATGTATATATAAAGCTGCTTTCGGCAATAAATATAAAAATTGGCCGTCTTTCCGCGACTACTGCGGGCATAAAATAATCATAAAGAGCGGCAGAGAGCATTTTGCGGACGGCCGATCCGCTATTAGTTTCTTAAGTGCCGCGTATAAATTACTGCCGACTTTCCGAATCAGATGCGTCTACATATACGCAGCACATTCATAAAAAATTCCTTCTCAACTCTTTCGCGAACGCAAGCGATGACACAGGCGAAAATTTATATGCACGACTTTTGAAACGAACGTTATTGAACTCCAGAGTGGTAAGAAAGTTTTAAAAACAGATGAAAAATACACATTTTAAAATATTGATCTTGAAATTTCATATTTCGTTCAGACAAAGATTTTTAAGATACTTTCCTTTTTTTTTAAATATCAAGTGATATTTTTTTAACCATATAATATCATTCATAATCCATACAATAAAAAATCAAGAGTTTTAAATTTAATAGACAAAAACAAAAACCAATGTTTAAAAAATTTTCAATGACAATTTTTCAGATATGTAAAATTACCATAGTAATTTCTGCGAGTGTATAATTTCAATTGTCAATGTTTATGCGCCTTAAAAATAAGATCATTAAATTTAATTCTCCTTTGACTCAAGAATCTAATTTGTAAGTGATCCTAATTTCCCACCCCTGCAAATGTTGTAAAATCTTTCTTTACTACTCCACTCCCGCGCCATTAGATGATACACGAGAGTGCAGTATTTGTGTAACAATAATTATTATTGCACTTGACGTGTTTGTGAGGGGAAATCTTTCGCAGCGTTTCATTTCAACTCGAGCGTGCACATAATTGGCATGCAATGGCAGCACGTGTGTGTGTTTGCAAGTGTGAGTTTCTCAGCGAGAGTTTGCACGTTTAGTTGATAGTGCGGCGGCAGCGGGTCGTGGGACTCGAGACATCTGCGTTGATGATACGCAGCTTATCTATCCATCTCCAAGCAGCTCCCCGGCAATTATTAGCGCTTTTAACAACTCCGGTTGTGATAAGCAAGACGAGGGAAGCTTTTCCGTAATTGCATCCTGTAAATCAGCATTCGTCGGAATCGAGACGAGCACCTCGAGACGCATGAAACGTAATGACTACGGTGGAGGAAGGGGAGCGGCCGCTGCAGACTGATTGGCGAACACGTCGTCATTTATTTATTACGTTATTTGGAGAGGATTTTGGTCAGCACTGACTCCCAAGGGAGCTGGGTTGTTAGAAAGAGACACCCTTGCAATCCTCCTTTCTGTCTTTCCTTGATAGTTTTATGTCTGCGCGAGAAAATGAACTTTTTCATATCCTCTTGTTGAGCAAAGTAAGCTTTCATTTCGGCCCTGCGGTGCGAATAGGACGAAAGTAAAAAGAGTATTATTTTATTTTTGGCGAATGACCAAAACTTTTACGAGGGATATAGAAATTAAATTGTTGTTTAGTTTCCTGAGGTAAATATTTTAGTATTAATTGTTTATAAAATAAGCAAAAATATAAATTATTTTTGTTAGATAATTATATATTCAGAATATTCAGAAATTATCAAAACCATGCTGCCAAAATCAATTTCTTCACCAGAGAGAATAAAATCTTAGATTTAGAAATACTGCTCTCATGTCGCAGCGGAGTTCCAGAGCCGGAAGCACCGTTTGGATTAAATTAGGCCAAATCCGCACTCGGGCGTGCGAAAATGTACGCGGACGATTCGAGCAGTCTTTCAACCAGTGGGTTCTGCGTGTGCCGGCTAAATAATTCAATAACGCTTGAAGGAAACTTAATTTGGCTGACATCTTTCTCAACCCTTCCGTCACACACTGCTCCGGCTGGAGTTGAAGAAAATTTCCGCCGACGAGCACGTCTGGGCCCACGGTGGGCGGGAAGAGGCGCGGGTGTCGATTTTCCCTTTGCTCTCTTCTTCTTCAGGGAAA